ATAGAGCAAACCATGATTTAAAGCAAAGGCGTTCAAGAAAACAAGAACAGAACACGGCCAGTGCCCATGAGAGAGAAAGATTGAACCATTGCTTAGGCTACGAAGACTGCACGCTGGAAGTTATATGAGTTTACAGAATTAGACGAGTTACAACATGTATATAAACCTTCTATAACATGTCTATAACCTGCTTGCAAGTATGTAAAGTGTCATAACATTTGATAAGTAATTTGTAAGTTTAGCTAGCCGGCTACGAGAAGTTGTAAATGTTTAGGTAAAATATAAATGGTTAATGAACTTATCGTAAGTATCTTAACTGCATGTTTTCTTTTTATAACTATGTTAACAGACTTAACATAAGTATGTAGGAAAAGTTATCATAAGTTATCTGAAAGTTAACAAAAGTTATAAAAAGTTATAAAAAGTTATAAAAGTTACAAAGAGTTAGTATAAAGTTATATAAAGTTAAAAATATGTTTACAAGAGGGCAATGATAGTTCCTGAAAGGGAAATAGTCTGGAATGACAGTTCCTGAGAAGGATCCGGTCTGAGAAGACAGTTCCTGAGAAGGATCCGGTCTGAGAAGACAGTTCCTGCAAAGGAAAGAGTCTGAAATGACAATTCCTGAGAAGGATCCGGTCTGAGAAGACAGTTTCTGAAAAGGATTAATTCTTCGATTTTCAACCTTTCCCCTATAAATGTCCCTAGATAGCTATAGTTCAGCTATAGTGCAGCTATAGTTCAGCTATAGTTCAGCTATAGTTCAGCTATAGTTCAGCTATAGTTCAGACAAAACTAGCTATAGTTCAGAATAGAAGTCGCTATAGTTCAGACAAAAATATCTATAGTTCAGAAAAGAATGGCTATAGTTCAGACAAAAATAGCTATAGTTCAGATAAAAATGGCTATAGTTCAGATAAAAATGGCTATAGTTCAGACAAAAATAGCTATAGTTCAGACAAAAATAGCTATAGTTCAGATAAAAATGGCTATAGTTCAGAAAAAAATGGCTATAGTTCAGACAAAAATATCTATAGTTCAGAAAAAAATGGCTATAGTTCAGACAAAACTAGCTATAGTTCAGAATAAAAGTCGCTATAGTTCAGACAAAACTAGCTATAGTTCAGACAAAAATAGCTATAGTTCAGACAAAAATAGCTATAGTTTAGAACGGGATCGTTTTAACAAAATAACGGATCCCGAACGGGAACAGTTGCAACTAAACTTGTTTCCAGATCCAAAAATACAGACAGAGATATCACTAAAAAAAACATATCGCCTCAGGTGTCATGATTCCTGAAACATACATAACTGAAACGCTTTCACATCACTTCGCCGATTTAAAAAAAAATATCATATCTGAAAGTTCTTTCAGAAACAAGACAGTTATAAAATCCACGTGGTCGGAAACCAAGGCAAAGACTTTCAAAAGTATAAAAATATACAAAAAAGTTGCAAAAAGTTATGAAAAGTTATAAAAAGTTAGCAGAAGTTATAAAAAGTTATGAAAAGTTATAAAAAGTTAAGACAAAACTTACAAATAAGTTATTAAAGTTAACATAACTTCCTTTTATCTTTTTGATAAGTCATGTTAACTTCCAACATAATTCCTTTAACTTCTGTATATCTAGGCTAAGTCTGTAAAGTCTTATAACTTTAAGCGTACAGTCTTCGTACAAGATACCCAACAGGGGATGATAAAGCATATTCCTTGGTGCACAGATCGTGCACTGGCCACGGAAACCGGCTTTTTTTTGTGGCCTTCTCACTTTGACCAAGCAACGAGATCTCAAAACAGGGCTTCCTGCGGTGAAATCGCAACTTTGGGTTTCCACCTTCGACAACACCCATCTAAACTTAAACAGGTGAACCACAGGACTTTGGGGGCTCTCAAAGGGCGTGGCCAGCAACTCAAGCCACTTCCTCCCAGATCCCCCAACTGCCTGAAATCATTCAAACATATTTGAAATCTGGCTGGGACTAATTGCTAGTTTCAATCTTTTTGGCCAATTGGGATTGTCATCCCAAACGTGTTTGAACACAAATAGCAAATGAAACAAACCACCAATTAACAATGGTTAGGGCCGCTGATTGGACCACAGCAAACGAACTAGCTTTGACGGTGTATGTCACAAACAGTCTTTAGCGCAACTCTTCTTACAGAGAGGCTGGAGAACTTCCCATCTTGGATGGGGATCGAAAAGCTAGCTACTCACCAATGCCTTCCAGCAGCCTGGATCCTTTCTGCCTGCGTTTTTTTGGCACAGAAAGTGCCGCAGCATGGAATTACCTCTCTCCCTCTCCCGCTCTGTCTCTATCTCACTTTCTATCCCACTCTGTCCATCTATCTCTCTGTCTCTCTCTACTGATGGGGTGCGCGACTTTGCTGTGATACAAACGAATGGAACTTGGATATCTCTTCTCTCTTCGACCATTTTTGGGCCTCACAGCTTGGGACATGACATTCAACCCCCAGCTTTTGGTCAACATAGCCTTCCACTTGTTGGACAATTTTGAGGCTGAGACTATCCAAACATCGGCAAATTACATCAAGGAATGGACTTGAATGGACCTCAGCTTTTAAGTCCATTCAGTTGCAGGCTACGAACCTGATATACATGTGCAAATTGGTAGAGCATGCACGTCTGTTGGACATCCCGTCGACAAAGGATTGTACGGTATACAAATGGAATTAAAAAAACATGGTAAACGCGAGAAGCAAAGCAAAATACCGTTTGCACTGAGAAAAGTACAGTTTGTCATTCCACTGATACAAAAGGTTTTGCAATTGATCTGGGGCCTCTGGAAATGGATTCTTGGGTCTTTCCAAATATTATATATATATATATGGTGGAATTGAATTGTATTATAGGTACCTTATTATTTCCCCCATGAGGTAACCAATTGTTTTTTCATGTATCTATTTGTCTTCTACCATGTTCATGGAAAACCATATGTGCGTTATTATTTTCACTCTTAGGCAACCAATTGGTTGATTAAATTGCTATCATCCCAGTATCGATTACGATGATTTTTTCTATCATATCATTTGGAAAAACAGGTGTCCAATACCATTTCCCTTATAGGGTGCCCAACCAATTGCTGGGTTAAAATGGAACGGGTATCATCCCTTTATAGGGTATGTACTATATCTATTTGTTTCAACCACGCTCATATTTCTTCGAGGGTGGTGCCCCCATATACCTTTGGTATAAAACCACCAATATTATCCATGATGATCACTCTTTTATTCAAGTAACTATTCAATTTCCCCATTATTTCTATGTCTACATCATATATCCTTTATATGCAATGTACATTTTTTTTGCCGAACTCAGGGTGCAGAAATCTGCACCTTGACTTAGGCAAAAAAAATGACGATATCCTAGGTGCTTGGTGGGGTATTGCCTAAGTCAAGGTGCAGATTTCTGCACTCAGACTTAGGGAATAAAGAGGTTGCACCCTGGGATTTAGGATTTTTTTTTGCCGATGTCAGGGTGCAGAAATTTGCATGTGGACTTAGGAAGCAGCCTTATTTTTACGGTAACCGTATATTCTACCATGATTTTTCCCGCCATTGATTCGGGGTCCTTCATGTTGAGATTTAGGCATGTTTTTTTTTGCCGATCTTTTGGCCCGGGTGGGGGGGGGGGCAAATCCATCGCAGCCCAAAATCCGTCGCATAACGAAATTTGAATTGATATTTTATCTAAGTACTCAACCAAAAAAACATATCTGAACTACGATCGAATTGGTGATCGTTTGTTCTGACTGGTACTTCCACAAGTAGAAGAAGGGTAAATGGATGGAGAAGCAAATTATCAATCCCGTTCTTGACATGACTACCGAATGGCGGATAAGAATTAATAATATTAAAACATCCAAGGAACACTAACCCAATACAATTTTTCCTTTGGGGTAAATTTCACTAGTATATATATATATATACCAAATTATACCAAGGCCACCTACCTTGATAGATAAAATAGATAAACAAATATTTGTTGGAACACATATATCACACAATCAGGGGTAGATATAAATCACCAAGGACCCTAGAATCAAATTCCAAAGTCCCCTTATTCGCTGCAAAACCTTACAGTCAGGAGCAAACAAGACGAAATTCGTTGGCGGATCCTTTTCAACCCAAAGGCGAAGAAAGAAACCACAGGCATGCACCCGTCAGGGCACAGAAAATGCCACACCTGCTATGACCTTCCATCATTCTGAGACCCCAGTGTCTTCCATTGTGGGAAGGGTCATGTTTCTCAGATATTTTGTTTTCCCCTAAATATCAACCCCAATGGAAACCATAATATTGGATCTATGAATCTATATATTCACAATTAGGGACCCTTGTTGTCAATCCATCCCAAAAATCTTCGTCAATTTGGATCCCCCTCCCAGTCACAGGGTGGTTTTTATGAAACATTGTTGAGATTGCCGTCATGGGGTGTATACCAATGAGATCCCCGTTTTTGCCTACTGGAATCTCCATTTCTGATGCTACGTCCTGGAAACGGCGTTCCTAAATTTGGGATTTTTGTCCCACCACCAGGCCTCAATTTCCTCAAGTGAAGTCGGATTTTGACCTCAAAACTAAAGCCAAATAAAGGGGGTTTCCAGTGGTTTCTAATGGAAAAACCCAAACAAAAATGGCTGATTTCCATTTTAGCACGCTTCCATTTGAAGAAAATGTGTTTTCTTGACTACATTCTTGACCTTCCACCAAGACAAAAATCATGTTCTGCAAACTTTGGTTTGCAACACGTCTGAGACATGGTGGACTCCACACTCATAAAAGTCAGGCACAGGTATGTTCAGGTATTTCAGGTTTTACATCCGGCTGAGATGAATTAGGTGAACCGATGAGGTCACAACATCGCTAGCGCTATTGTTTTTTCATGTTTGAAACCGCATTTTCCGGTTTAAACACATTATTTCGTGTTTGCTGAAGAAACTAGCGTCCAAGGTTTGCGCAATTAAATCACTCCAAATCCCTATTTCAAATATGGCAGACTATTCTTGAGACTCAGTATGCTCATGATTTTCCTTCCCATAGTCACCCCTGTCCCCAGTTGCCAAGGTGCTTGCCCACTGGCCGTGCTGAAGCGTTGAATCTGCGCCTCCGCGTAGACTTTACACCCGAAGAGACGGAGGTGCAGCCGATGGATTTCGCTGCGCGGCTCATCCTTCACCGCCTCACACTCCGATTCCGGATGGTTTGAACACGAAACCGTGCATGATACCATGTCATGCCAGGATATGTGTATATATATATATATATGTGTGTCAAAAAACAGCAAATCAAAATGTGTATAGATATATTGATGTTATAGCAGCATTTATGTTATCAATCAATCAGCGTATCAGCCTGTAAATATATGTGTATATACATACATATATAGAAATGTATATATATATATATGTTACATATGTATACAAAACAAAACGCATATATATATATATATTTGGAAAATAGATTCTGGATGGTCCAAGTAAGAAGGTTCAAATAGGAGACTATAGGAGAGGTAAGTTGTTGTGATTCACCAGTGGCAGCGCGCATTGATGGACCGAAAGGTGGCTGAGGCTCTGAATCTCTCTGTCTCTTTATCTCTCTTTGTCTGCTTCTTTCTGGGCCTCTATCTAAATATCTATCTATCGATCAATCTATCTGCCTAGCTATCTGTCTCTCTGTCTAAATCGGTCTATTTGCCTATATGCCTATTTATCTCTCAATCTGTCTACCTAGCTATCTACCTATCTACCCATCTATCTATCTGAGCATCTGTCTATCTATCTAGCTATCTACCTATCTATGTATCTATCTATCTACCTATCTATGTATCTATGATTATCTATGTATCTATGTATCTAGGTATCTATCTATCTATCTTTCTTTCTATCTATCTGTCTATCTGTCTATTTGTCTATCTGCCTATCTATCTGTCTATCTGTCTATTTGTCTATCTGCCTATCTCCCTGTCTATCTGTCTATTATCTGATTGTCTATCTTTTTATCTGTCTATGTGACTATCTCACTGCCTGTCTAACTGTCTATCTGACTATCGGGCTACCTATCCACCTGTCTATCTGTCTATCCATCTATTTGTGTGTCTATCTATCTCTCTACCTCTCTATCTCTCGATCTATCGATCTATCGATGTATCGGTCTATCGATCTATCGATCGATCTATCTATCCATCTGTCTGTCTTTCTGTCTATCTGTGTTTCTATCTATCTATTGATCGGTCTGTCTGTCTTGCCTGTCTGTCTGAAGGAAAGACTTCTGCCAAACCTCCTCCAAAACGAAGCATTTCTCCGAGACTTCCTCCAGTGTTGAACTTGGCAGCGTCAGAAACGGAGCAATTCTGTGAGACCTCCTTCAAAAATGGAAAGCTGAGTGCAGAGCTGATGGCCTCGTGCGAATGCGTTTTGCATTTTTCCTTGCCATCTCTCTAAAGTACCCTGAAAATCTGATGCTCCAAAATCCATCCCGTCTCAGGAGATCAGCGCCCTGACCTCTTAACATGTCTGACGACGGAGATATCTCTTGTACCGCGCCTGCCATGCGAGATGCATCTTTGCAGACTCTCTTCAGCCATCGTTTTTGAAACTGCTGCAAAACACACACGTTTGCCTCACTTTTGGCAAGGTGCAGAATCCATTGCGCCTGCCACGGGAAACGATGCTTGAACATCCAAAAGTGGTGCGAAAATGTGGTGTTTTTTTACCATTTTGACTTCGAACTGTGCTTCGCGCATCTTCGCGCCACAATTGCGTGCACTTTTTCGATGTCGCAACCTCCAAAAGTGATCCGGGCATGGTGTGCTTTTAAACATTTTTTGCACCGAAGCGCCGTGCACTTTTTGAACATCTGAACTTCCAAAAGTGCTCTCAGCTTGGGGTGTTTTGTGCGTTTTGTCTTCGAAATTTTGTTTCGCTCCACAACAGCATGCACTTTGTGATCTTTTTGAACAGCTCAACTGCCAAAAGTGCTTCAATGCTCAGGCCTTTGACATTTTGACTTCGAAATGTGCTTCGCGCCACAGCCGCGTGCGCTTTTTCCACATCGCAACTTCCAAAAATGCTCCTTCGTTGAGGTGTACTGGGGATTGTCATGTCGAAATGCGCTTCGCGCCACAACAGCATGTAATTTTTCCTCTCTCATCTCACCGAATGGTTCCGCACCCGCCGCTTTAGCGAGCCTACTTTTCCACTCTCCGGAGCCACGGATCATTGGAAAAACACTGTGTTTCGCGACTTTCCTACATTTTCGCCCACGTGGATCTTCTTTCTTGTGCTTCTCTCTTCTTTGACTTTGTCTCTTCTGACCCTTTCTCTTCTCTGACTGCTCTCACCCCTGCTGCTGCATCTGCCCACTTCTAAACTTCCTTCGGGTAGTAATTCATAGTAGTTTATAGGTGTTTATAGTAGATCAGCCTGAAGCGCTCCGTCATTTTGGGGTAACTACTGCTAACCATTATTCCAGTGACGTCGCAGTGAGGTCGTTATAACTTATCCGGATAGATCATGAGAGATCTTTGATCTGCTTCAATGCATCAAATCTATATACATATTATATATAATATATATATATATATTTGTGTATTGGTTCGACTGCTCAACATACCCAGTTGTATCAAGGAAAGCGCGATAAGCAGTTGCTCAGCATGCAGAAAAATCATCTAAGTGCAGCAAAAACACACTGGGGCAATATCTCGTACAATCTTATCCTTATACCTGGGAACTCATGCGAGCTATAATTTCAGCCTGAGCCTGAATTCTAGCCTGAATGGGGCTTCGGGCCAAAGAACAGCCTGCGGGCTGATTTCCATATTCGAGCAGTTTTAGCCAATTTTGGGTGGCAAAATCACAGACATGGAAAAACGCAATGAAACATTCCAAAGCGGAAAATATGCTTCTTTTAAAGCATTTTGGTGAAAAGGAGTCGGGAGTGATTTGGTGTGATTCCGGGGAGTGATTTGCTGTGATGGGGGTTTGGACAAACCCCAAGATGGTCTTGTAAAATGTGATTCTCAACTTGGGTATTTTTCATTAGGGTCAATCCCATTATGTTCATAGACCCCAAAGTCAACAAAACTTATTCGGGCCAAAACAAACGCCTGCGGGCTGAAATTCTTGCCCGGGCAGAAATTTTAGCCTGAACAGCTTCGGGGTAAAAAACGGCCTGCGTGAGGATGCAGGTATGTATATATATATATATTTATTTATGTTTTTATACATTATTATTATACAAACAACATGTACACTGGAACTGATGTAAAAGCAAACTATCATACAGTCATTGAATTTGGTAAACATGGATAGTCTATAGATTACAGGCAAAATTTGAAATTGAGATACCACCATTCACAACGGCCTTTCTTTATCGCGCCACCACATCGGCGGTCCTCTGAAAAGATGGACCACACCCTCTTCGAGAACAGTCTGTTCTAAGCGGAAGAACACCACATCTGACGAACTGTAAGCCTGACCAAAACACCAAATGTAAATGTAGGATTATTCTCCCAAACATTGGAACCACAGCTTTGAAGCCCTGCTCTACAAGTATAGAAGGGGTTCTCCCCTCTTACACTTGATAAATGGTTGGAGGCTCTACTGTGAATGGCAAATTCAGAGAAAGAAGTATTCCCAATTCTGATCAATTTTGGACAAATATGTGGCGATCCATTCCCCTAATAAACATGTACCCAAAAAAGGAAACCTCTCAGTACTGGCCCTGTCTATTCAATTTTCTGTGACTTTCAAACTAAGATTCAACACCAAACGAAACCCTGGTGGAATGTGTTGGATATATTCATGGTTTGCGGTCCCTTATTGGGGAATCCAATATTATCGATGGATGGAGACAAATATATGCATCCACATCTGGGAATGTATGGATTGAAGCAGAGTTTTGGCTCATTGTATGCCCACATATGTATACACACTCATGCGCGTGTAATACGTGCGTATGTAATATATTCTCACCTACATCTCAAAAATACACAAGTGCATAAGTATACCATACAAAGTAGTATGTATTTATACACATGGAATCAATTCCTCTCTCTCTCTCTATGTAACAAACATAAATACATACAAGTACATATACGGTTATACAGTTATACATAGAATTATATATATATACAATATAAATACCGTACAGAATTACACTGAAGAATATATAAATATGGTGCTTTCTTAGAATGGGAAATCCACAAGTCAAATTGCCAAATTTGGGATTTGGGGTACCCTCAAAGGACAAAAATGGCCAAGGTGCACGTGAGGAGCTCGCTGCATAGTCTCAGTGATGGGGCTTTTCCATCACAGCAGAGTGCTTGTTTTATGGGGTTTTAGCCATCAAACATATGGGGATATCTGAGTGGTACCCTCTGGTCAACTAACATAACTATGGAAAATCACAAGTTTGTGGATAAACCAACTAAGATAAATGGCCATTTTCAAAAGCTATGTCAGCTATGTTAAATTACCAGAGGGTAAGTGATAGTCGGGTGATGAAAAAAAGGGATTCTATTCCCCAATATAAAGTTTTCGAGACTAAATCTGTGAAACCAGGATTTTGGTCGGAACAGAAATTTCGAGAGATCTTGAAGCGTCTAGCGCTGGATTTTCGAAAGGGGCCTCGCATGATCCGAAGATGAAAGGCTCATCCACTGGAGCACCCTCCTTCATATCTTTCTTTCCAACTTTGATCGGAATACATGGAGGTTTTCTGAAAATGGGGGTTCCCAAAATGGATGGTTTATAATGGAAACTCCATCTATAAATGGATGATTTAGGGGTACAGGTGGACGTTGGAGGCGGGACCGATGGTCCTAGAATATGCGTTCCTGCATGGAACGCCGTGGTCACGGCTAAGTCAGAAAAAGCAGGACCTGGACTATGAAACCCAATGGAAACGCTTTAACGCTTACGGTTGGTAGACGTGAAAACACTCACTTCCAGAAGCCTCTTTCCAATGGAACGCCGGTACCCAAACTACTAAACATATTTGGTTGACCACTCACCGTTCCCATGGAACGCTGGCTTTTACTGATGCTTCAGACCTGCCCAAACCACTTGAGCAAATCCCCATGTGAACTCCGCTTCTCAAGACTACTCCTGCCAGAATCTCATGCGCAGTGTGTTTTTATTCAGACTGGAACTCCGGATTCACAAGTCAGGTTTGGACAGAAAGGTTGCATATCAAAAATTGTGGCGGAAAAGGATGCATTTATACGAGGTCCGCTACGAGGTCTATACGAGGCCAATACGAGGTCAGTCTATATGGTTTGTCGAGGAGCTCGCCATGAGCTTCTGAAGCGAGATTGCGCCACTTGAGCTGGCACTTGTTGTGAAAACAGTCAGCAGCTAAAACATGAGAATATCTCATCTACTGATTCTTTCTCCCAACGGAACTCCGGCTAGGCAGACCTTTTGGGAATTGAACAGGCACACCTTTCACCACCTACTGTACTTGCATTATTTTCCATTCATTCGCATTGCTTTTGTTCATTTACCCACAGGACGAGGGTATGGCCCGGAGGGCCATACCCGAGAGCTGAGCTAGCAACCCATTGGTTCCATCATCCCAGTGCCAGGGGATTTCGTTGTCATAACAACAGTGACGTCCTACGCATACTTCTATTAGGGTTTCATTTAGGGCCAGGGTTTACGTAAGTTATAAAATCTTCCGGCCCCATGGAACATATGCTCATACTTCTATTGGGGGTTTCATTTAGGGTTTACATAAGTTATAGAATCCCCTGGCCCCATGGAACATACGCATACTTCTATTAGGGGTTCATTTAGGGTATACATAATAAGTTATAAAATCCCCCGGGCCCATTGGAACATATACGCATACTTCTATTAGGGGTTTCATTTGAGGTTTACGTAATGTTATAAAATCCCCCCGGCCCCATGGAACATATATGCATACTTCTTTTAAGGGTTTCATTTAGGGATTACATAAGTTATAAAATCCCACGGCCCCATGGAACGTATACGCATACTTCTATCAGGGGCTTCATTTAGGGATTACATATATAAGTTATAAACTCATATAAAATCCGGACTTGCCAAAAAAGTGAAAGAGATTGAAAAAGTGGAAATTGCCGAAACGCGTGAAGTCCGCAAAAGGTTCACTTTTCTGACTGTTTTTTTCCAAAAATTCGTCTTAGACCACGCTAACCCACAGATGTACCAGAGTCATAAAACACTGCGCCTGCGCAGAGAAATGAGCCTCCCACTGACGTTCATACGACCATTCCGGGACAACCCTCAGTCCTGCCCGTTCATTTACTAGTAGCATTTATTTCCTTCATGTTGCATTCATGTTCTTGCTTCTTGTATTCATGTCCTTTCATTTTAATTGCATGTCTTTCCATTTCGATGATCCAAGGTCTTGCATGTATAATCCAATGTCTGTGAAACGCATACTAAACGGCCTTCACCTGAATGCTTTTTACAAGGGAACAGCTGCATTTTATACCACCGGTACCGTCTTCAACATCTGCCTGTACCACCATTTCAGGAAAGCTCCATAAAAAACTTTTGCAATCGGATTGGTGTCTCAGGATCTAGATCATGGGTCATAGATCATCCAAATTTAAGTTTGATTTAATGGGCAATTCCCTTTCACCCCTTCATGCTCTTGGTAAGTTTCCTGAAATTAAAAGAAAATATTTGCCAGCAATTGTTTTCAAATTTCAAGGGTTTTCCCCTTTTTATTTCAATATAAAATTTACTACAATTTTACTATTGACCTTAAATGGCGAACTGAATTGAAATGGTGGTCTTGGACCTCAACAATAAAAGATGCCATGTGTTTGAGGCTTGGATTCGGTTGATACAAAATGAATGTGAATCATATATGTAAAAAACAAATAGTAGATACTTTGGTTCTGATTAGGGCGTCTCTTCCAGCAGCAAATTGTGCTTGACCTTGGTTGAATTTAATTACAATCAAAGGCGCTTATCAGGGAACTTCTTCGCATAGCGCATTTTCATTGATGTTTGTATTGGGGCGACGCTACAGACTGGATATGATTGGACAATTGACTTCTTAGTGAGGGAGTTGGACTCTTATTAGTATTATTAGGAACCTCGTCGGCGAGCACATGTTGATTTAGCTTCGTATGTCGATACTGTTGATTAACTTTGCATGGCTTTGGTCCAAGTGCTGCTTTCAGATTCCAGGTCCGGGTGTGCGCGGACATCTGTATAACACATGTCGCAATTGCACTATAATTACATTTTTTGGTTAACCTAGTTTTAGCATGCTTTAACATGTTTTTGCCCATTTGGGTAAAATTGAGCATTTGTTAGGGGGCGGGCGAAGGGAATACTGTACTTAAATGAAATCCTCTGCCCATGGAGCTTTTAAAAAGCATGCGGCCAGACCATGGTAATGGGTGGTTAAATTGCCCATCACCAAGTCTACACGATTTTCCAAGGGTTACCCAGGCAAGTTCCTCCCGATCACATGTGCCACCCATGGCCAATAAGGGTCTAGGGCTCAGAAGTTTGCATTGAAGTCTCAGATTAGTTTGCTAAACAAACTTCTGCGGACTTTGTGGGCCTTTTTTCGTTGCGGCCGATTATGGGGCATGAGATCTGCTGAAAAAAATCGGCGGAAAATTGAGATCCTGTGACCCCGAATCGATTGCAAACAAAATTGCGGACTTTAGTTTTTTTCAGACGTATGGTTCGGCGGAACTCATCTTCTGGTTTTGTGTAGTGGACTTCTGCTGATTCAACGCTTTTCCCTAGGATTTCTGCTGAACATATTTTTTTCGGCGGAACTCAACATGACAAACTGTGCGCCTGAGTTCTGCTGATCTGTTTTTTTTCGGCGGAAATCCGTAAATCTGGTGATGCATAACTACCCATGATTCCCTGCTGCATGTTCATTTCCCAATGTGAAATTTAACCTGTACTAGCCGCAATGGCAAATGATCTAGGATCCTGACTTTGAGGACCTTGGGGTTCTAAAATCGGTCTACCTAACCATGAAAATGGATTAACGCTTCTTGCTCGCGTGGGCATTTGGAATGTGAACAGTGCATGCTGGGTACATGAACATGTTTGCAGAACAGAACGTACATAGCTAGGTTCAAGATAAACCACAGAGATATAAGTATATATGTGGAACATAAAGCAAGTCTCTGTATGTTTATTTTTGGGCTTATTGTAGCGAATTATCTATATGACTATACGTGGTTATAATTATGCATTGGTTCCATTCAAAATCCTTTAGTTAATAAATAGAAATTGTATATCTTTTGGTAATGGTTTTTGTAATTTTCAAGCTTTCCATCACATATTTCAAACTGAGTCCTGGCTAATGTGATTAGCTGGTAACATGGTGAAATAATATGAAATAATGAAATAGGCCATGTGTTTGAGGCTTTATTAGGTTGCTACAAAATGAATGTGAAACTATGTGTAAAGTTTTTTTGTATATAGGTACTTTGGTCCTGATAAGGGAGTCCCTTCGGCAGCAAATTGTGCTTGACCTTGGTTGGATATAATTTCAAAGAAAGGCGCTTATCAGGGAACTTCTTCGCATAGCAGATTTTCATTGATGTTTGTATTGGGGCGACGCAACAGATTGGACATGATTGGACAATTGACTTCTTAGTGAAGGAACTTGATTCTTATTGGTATTATTAGGAACCTCTTCGGCGAACATATGTTGATTTACGTTGGTATGTCGATACTGTTGATTAACTTTGCATGGCTTTGGTCCAAGTGCTGCTTTCAGATTCCAGGTCCGGGTGTCCGCAGGCCTTTCCTGTATAACAAATGTCGCACTTGTACTATCTTGTGCTAATTAATAACATACAGTTTTACTACCCAGGGAGTTCTAACTATGGGGAGCACTAGGATATGAAGAAATACATGGTTCAATTCAGACCTAACAGTGATGTCCCCAAATCAAAGTCAGCTGCCCCACAATCGACTGCAAAAGTTTTAGATCAGAATCTGAAATCCAACATCAAGTGGCTATACGCCCCCAAATTCACCAAACAAATGGACCCCTTCAAATCATGTCGCACAGGCAAATTACATATTCATCTCACTCCTAATGTCGTACACCCAAGAACAGGTATTATCCCTAACGTGACCAGAAATGGCTTGTATAAGGCAGGTCTCTTACTCTTCTTGGGTTTAACAGATTATAAGCCTGGTTCACTTCCTCGTCTGTCCTATCCATCACCGCGGCACCCATCAAAGTCTTCTGCAATTCCTGCCACCTTTCCTCGGATGCCACGGCCCTAAGGCGAGGAAGGATGGGCTGTGCAAATGCATCTCCAATGTTCCCATATGCTACTTGATATGCTTCTAAATGACAAAATACACACATGTGATATATAGCATAGCATATATTTATATAATCATGCCCATGTTTTAGATAAATTATATATGCAGGTGTTTCTCCTCATTTTCATCTTTCGTGTCCCAATCCTCAATCCTTATAAACTATAATTATGTGGATGTAGGTATTCATATGTTAGCAAAATTTAGTACATATATATATGTATATGTCAAATTGTGTAAATATATCCAAATTCAAGCCACAGCTAAGTGTCAGCCTTCATGAATCTTCGCAGGCTGATTCCTTCCCCCTGGCCGGCCACGGACAGAAACGGCCCAGGAGCAATTCTTGAAACACAAACAGCAGGCTATCAACACAATAGTAGTACCCTCTGGTAATTTAACATAACTATGGAAAATCACCATTTCTCATGGGAAAATTTACTATAAATGGTGATTTCCATAGTCATGTTAAATTACCAGAGGGTAACGATAATAATAATAACAATAATAATAATAAAGTAACCTAAAGTAGTAACAATGATTTGTCCATTTCTGGTCAGGTTAGTCTGGTTTCAAACAAGCGATATATCCCCTTGGGGCGGCCCTTGAGGCGGCACAGTCCGCTGGCAGGGCTGAAACCATGAATCTGCACAATTTATAATATCTCGCAGGTCGTCGTTTATTTCGAATAATTTTACCGCTGAAATATTGACGTCGTCTGAATTAATACATTATTTTACGTCGGCCTAATACGACAACAGGACCTGCTTTGATTTCTTAATTTGCTGCATCCTGGGTATGTTCTGTAAAATAAACACAACGTTTTGTTTGTCCAAGCTTTGCCGCTTAAAGCCGATTTTTCCAGCCGTAGCTGCCCAGACAAAAGCTAGACACACGGAACTTGCTTCTGAACGCTGAAGACCTCAGTTTCCTAGTTTGATAAACTAGGATCTTTTTGTTTGTCCAAGCTTTGCCGCTTAAAACCGATTTTTCCAGCCGTAGCTGCCCAGACAAAAGCTAGAAAAACAGTGAACTTGCTTCTGAACGCGTTGAAGACCTCAGTTTCCTAGTTTGGTAAGCTAGGATCTTTTTGTTTGTCCAAGCTTTGCCGCTTAAAGCCGATTTTTCCAGCCGTAGCTGCCCAGACAAAAGCTAGAAAAACACGGAACTTGCTTCTGAACGCGCTGAAGACCTCAGTTTCCTAGTTTGGTAAGCTAGGATTTTTTTGTTTGTCCAAGCTTTGCCGCTTAAAACCGATTTTTCCAGCCGTAGCTGCCCAGACAAAAGCTAGAAAAACAGGGAACTTGCTACTGAACGCGCTGAAGACCTCAGTTTCCTAGTTTGGTAAGCTAGGATTTTTTTGTTTGTCCAAGCTTTGCCGCTTAAAACCGATTTTTCCAGCCGTAGCTGCCCAGACAAAAGCTAGAAAAACAGGGAACTTGCTTCTGAACGCGCTGAAGACCTCAGTGTCCTAGTTTGACAAACTAGGATCTTTTTGTTTGTCCAAGCTTTGCCGCTTAAAACCGATTTTTCCAGCCGTAGCTGCCCAGACAAAAGCTAGAAAAATAGGGAACTTGCTTCTGAACGCGCTGAAGACCTCAGTTTCCTAGTTTGATAAACTAGGATCTTTTTGTTTGTCCAAGCTTTGCCGCTTAAAACCGATTTTTCCAGCCGTAGCTGCCCAGACAAAAGCTAGAAACACGGAACTTGCTTCTGAACGCGCTGAAGACCTCAGTTTCCTAGGTTGGTAAACTAAGATCTTTTTGTTTGTCCAAGCTTTGCTGCTTAAAACCGATTTTTCCAGCCGTAGCTGCCCAGACAAAAGCTAGAAAAACAGTGAACTTGCTTCTGAACGCGCTGAAGACCTCAGTTTCCTAGTTTGACAAACTAGGATCTTTTTGTTTGTCCAAGCTTTGCCGCTTAAAACCGTTTTTTTCCAGCCGTAGCTGCCCAGACAAAGCTAGAAAAACAGGAAACTTGCTTCTGAACGCGCTGAAGACCTCAGTTTCCTAGTTTGACAAACTAGGATCTTTTTGTTTGTCCAAGCTTTGCCGCTTAAAACCGGTTTTTCCAGCCGTAGCTGCCCAGACAAAAGCTAGAAAAACAGGGGACTTGCTTCTGAACGCGCTGAAGACCTCAGTTTCCTAGTTTGACAAACTAGGATCTTTTTGTTTGTCCAAGCTTTGCCGCTTAAAACCGATTAAAACCGATTTTTCCAGCCGTAGCTGCCCCAGACAAAAGCTAGAAAAACAGTGAACTTGCTTCTGAACGCGCTGAAGGCCTCAGTTTCGCCTTCCCCAAAAACCGCTCGAGCTCACAAATGCCCGGCTTTGGCGCCGGGAGGCTTGAAACGCACAGGGGCTTGAACCCGCCCTGGTCCGGAACCGCCCGCGGTGCCTACAAACACGCTCGCACAGCCTGTTTGACAATTTTTTCCTTTAATTTGAGGCTCCCAAACCTAGTCTTCATCAAAAAACAACTCCCAAACCTTTCAAAAAACGCGTTTTCCTAGTTTGACAAACTGGGATCTTTTTGCTTGTCCAAGCTTTGCGGCTTAAAACAATTTGTTCCAGCCGTAGTTGCCCAGACAAAAGCTAGAAAAATAGGGAATTTGCCTCTGAACGCGCTGAAGACTCCAGTTTCCTAGTTTGATAAACTAGGATCTTTCTGTTTGTCCAAGCTTTGCCGCTTAAAACCGATTTTTCCAGCTGTAGCTGCCCAGACAAAAGCTAGAAACATAGGGAACTTGCTTCTGAACGCGCTGAAGACCTCAGTTTCCCTTGTATGGTGATGATCTTATTTCTGAGGCTAGGTCGTTATTTCGGGGTGACGTCAGTGACGTCGTTTTAAATTGTCCAGATGAATGGTTATTGTGCTTGGCCAAGACAGCTAAAATTGCTATTTATTGGGTGTTGTTTTAGGTGTTGTTGGTTTTATTCATTATTTGTTATTGTTTGTTCTGGCCCTCACCATTATCATGTTCATTATGCTGCGGGTGATCATTGTTATTAATTATTACTTTTAAGTGGTTATTCTTGCATGGCTATTAGATTATCATTACGGATAATATTAGATAAACAGCTCAGCCCTGCCAACATGTTTATATCAGATTCTGTTTAGAAGGAGTAAGTACATGTAATTATCACTGTGCACACCTCCAAGTCTACAAACATCTTGGTTAAGGTTTCCCGGAGCAAACCTAGTTGGGGAGCTACAGGAAGGCCATCCCCCTGTGTGATAAATGGGTTTTCGGAGATCTATCCACCATAAACCAAGTTATAAATGAGTCAGGCTAGGTATAAACCAAGTTGCCTCTCTAGGGTATCTAAGGAGGCCCTTCCTGTACCCCATACCTGCTTCAAGGGATTCCATGGGGATGATTCCAACCCTTAGCGAGGGGAATCTCCATTCAAAGGACGAAAGGCCTTGAAAGTAACGGAAACAATGGTCAAAACATGGTTTTCGAGGTGTGGCCATCCATCCCATAATGGGAATCCAAACATGATGGTATATCATATATATATATATTTATTTATTTATTTACGTATATATATATATATATAAATTCCTATTCATGGGCTGATGATCATCTCTTAATATGGCTATCGATGGCGCATATTTCAATCGATTGCTTTGAGGCTCAAAAACACGGACGTATGCATACTCAACATGACCAAGTGTGTGGGTCCAGTGGATGGGAACATCAAAATCGTCTAATCATTCCAATCCTCGTCCCAACTTGCATGATGGGCAATCACATACAACGGATCCAGCGACAACCTGCATCAATTTCTCAGTGCCCTGCCTGGGTCGAGCGGGGGAAACTCACATGTACTTGCTCCAGCTCCATGCTTTCTACGGGATCCACTAAGAGCATCATATCCTTGCGAGAAACATGCCAGCTGAATCTGCACTGCACACAGAGATCAGAGATATCAAGGCTGGGCCCGACAAAAAAAAAAGGTGTTCTTTTAAGCATATCGGCAAAAACGGTGGCACATTTGCCAGCAGAAAATCACCACTACCCCATTCGCCGACCCACAACAGGACAGGCCAAAATATGGCCATGGGATACATCCGAATCTGCTGGAATTTTGCAAATATCCCAGCTTTTCTCAACATAAAACTGACAAACGGACAGCAACAGGATAATCCCACTGGAACAACCCTGGTAAGTTCCAATAAACGTGGCTTGTCCATGTCCCATCTAAAACTGCATTGGATGATCAAGGCTTTGCTAATCATCTATACCAAGAAATAAGAACTAACCGTAACTAACTCCAACTGGGTTACCCTCCGGTGTGATCTACGAAAATAATCGAACTCAATGGGGGGTTCTTATCTAAAATGGAAAATCCCAAAGTCACCATGGGTTTCAACAACAGGGTCATGGTCATCTTGGATTCCTTGGATGATTTGGGGGTCCCCCCATGACAAAACGGAAACCTCCGGTTAAGTTTGTTGGTCAAAAATACAAAAATTATAGACAGAATACTTTTCCAATATATCTACAACTCAATCTTCTCTCCCTACTACTAAAACTCACCCCATTAATAAAAGGAAAAGATTGACAATTTAGTTTTTTTGGGTGGGTTACAATTGCGTTCTTAAGTGTGGTAATTGACATCAATAGGAGAACAGGATGATGAAATACTGGTTTGTAACCCATATTAATAAAAATAGAATGGTACCTGGAGGTTTTTTGTTAGGGTTCCATCTCACAAATTTTATTTTCTATGTTTATCATTAATAAATAAGGTTCTAATTGGAATGGGGAAAGCTTCGAAATCCAGTTTTTGGCAATATGTTAAATAGATTAAAAAATGTATTTAATCGAATTTGAAACCGAGTTTTTTATTGATAGGGTTTTCATTGGAATATTAAGGGAAAGCTTTGAAATCCAGTTCATAGCAATATTTTTAATAGATTGTAAACATGATTTTAATCACATTTGAAATCCAGTTTTTTTTTTTCTCTCTCTCTCTCTATAGGGTTTTCATTGGAATATTAGGGGAAAGCTTCAAAATCAAGTTTTAGGCAGTATTTTAAATAGATTTTAATAAGGAATTTAATCACATGTGAGATCAAGTTTTTTTTAATATTTCTATTATTAAAGGTTTTCATTGCAATATTAATTAGAGGCACCCAGATACAAAATACCTCTTAATTAAACATAGATCACCGTGTTTACCATTTGGGGAGGTGTTTTAGTATTAGGGAGCAGATATTATTCCAATTTATTATGGTTATCGTTAAATAAACCTTAACCTCCATAAATAGGGGGGGTCCTAAAAATAGGGCCATCCCCATACCCTGGTCCTCCACTGGAACGATGGTGCCCGCAGAACTGGCCGAGCTGAGGGAACGCGCGCAGCTTCCCGGGAGCCGCGGCCTCAAACGTTTCGATGTTTCGACGTTTCGATGACATGGCCATGTTTTTTCCTGGAGAATGGGGGATATAGTAGAAGGCCATTTTTAGATGATTTTATGTGTTAATTTTAAACTGTTTTAATATGTTTTAATGGTATATATTCTGTTGTTCTTTTGGTATATGATGGGATATGTCGCTACAAACATGGGATTGAACAATCAAGAATGACTCATCTTTTGATGGGGATAATCGGGAGCAAACATGGATAGCTGGGTTTGGATGGGGTTTAGTTTCACTGATCAAACCTTATCAAGAATGGCATGGCAAAGCTAAGTTTTGGGGATGAATGGGAAACCACCACATCTGGGCAAGTTGTCACCTGCAAAACGTGCGCCCACAGTATCACATACCAAAACAGGGTTCAATCAGGTATAAATCGCTACCATCCTCATCCAAGGATTTTGCGTTTATCAAAGGCAGTTAAAGTAGGCGCATATATAAGCTATTGGAATCCCTCCCTAAATGATTCCAGCCATATGAACTACCTTCATGTCTGCCATCAACCATGATAAATTATAAATGGGTTCAATTCACGTGGCAAATATATGATCATATCGTAACGTGCTGTTTTAGCTGTGGGGTGTGTCTAGTTGTCCACCCTACTGTTTCAGGAGTTGGGGTTGGTAACCGAATTGATTCAGGAGTTGGGGTGCTTGATAAGCTCGATTCAGGAGTTCAAGTCTTGAAATCTCTCTTAGGATACCATTGGTCCAAGGGCGCTAAGCCATTTTGCCAGTATCGCGCGAAGGTTCCCAGAGGATGCTGAAGGCGTCAAAACATAGCATGTCGTAGTTCCAATGGTCGAACAAACCATTTTTTGACTCAAGACAGGTGAACATAAATACGTGCTTTCCCATGTGGCTATTTACAAGCCCTCCATACCAACGAGACTCTTAGAAGCGCAGCAATAAACACAAACAAGGCAATGAACCCTACATTGTTCATGGTTTTTGGACCTGACAATTTGCCTAAACCAAAAAAAGTTGAATTCCAGCGCGAAGAACTTAGGAACTCGAAATGGAGACACTCGGCCAGACAAGGTCAAGTTTTATAATATGTATATACAGAGCCTAGATATCTCCAAATCATGATTTTATTGTTCCGGTCCCCCAAACAAATTAGATTGATCAGTCGAGAAATTGCACCCATGAAAAAGTAAGCACGGGCAAACATCTGCACAGGAAGTGGACCTGACTGGCCGCTATTTTCCTTGAAATTTCGCAGCCCGCGCCCTTGGAAACAGACTTATTTTTGAATGTTTTGAAGTCATGCTTAAAAAGAGGCGTGCTTTTATCAGCAAAGAACGTGGTGGGTAAAAAACAATAGAGCCCAAACGCGGTTCCTGTGGCAGTAGAAATAGGAGTCTTTCATTGGCCTGGACATCCAAAGAAGCTCGTTTTCTGAAACAAAATCTTGCATCCAGGAAAAGACATATTGCCAAGAGTGCCAAGTCAAGAATTGTGATCCTTGATTCGTTGGCCCGCAAAGCTTAGAAACTATGAAAACCGCCTGGAATTAGGAATATGTATGTATGTAATTGTATATATAATTATATATGAATTTATATTTATATTTAGATATATACTACTTATTTATTGATTTATTTATCTATTTTTTTCTGTGAAAACATGTTATTTTTCAAACTTATTTATTTATATAATGTAGATATGAGAAAAAAACACTGTTGCCATTTACATCGCGTCCGGATTGTGGACTGTGGGCCCTCACCCTGTTAGCCTCGCAGCACAACCCCTTGCAAGATTACGCATCCAAGACCTGACTCCTGAACTGACCTGCGAAGCACCACTCCTGAATTACATCACCTTCCAAAATTGACGCCTTGAAGAGCAAATCACATCTAATTTAAAACCCGATTCCCGAACCCGACCAAAACCTTGGCTTCACGCTAATTTCACCTTCTCATTCTTCTCATTCTTCTCATTCTTCTCTTGGCGCTTAAACCCTGTTGATGTTCATGACTTAACTCTTTCAATTTTCAACATCATTGGTAGTCAGGAAAAGGCCATACAGTACTTTCATTTGGGGTATTGTTTGGTGTTTTTTCTGATGCATGTCGCTTCTACTTGGATCAGATTGACAAAAATTGAATCAAAAAAACCTAAAAAAACAGAAAAACAACATTAAAAAATAAAAAACACAAACACAAAATCGTAATAAACTCGTAATAACATCGGGAAAAACATGCAAAAAAAACACAAAAAATAACAAGAAAAAACATGAAATTATTCATCAAAATCTTGCAAAAACATTTTTTAATGATGTTTTTCAGGAAAATTCAAACCCAAAAACCATTTGGATCCAGGAATTGACTCCTGAAAGCGCTCTGGATCCAGGAACTGACTCCTGAAAACCCTGTCGATCCAGGAGCTGACTCCTGAAAACACATGTCAATCTGATCCAAGTAGAAGCGACATGTATCAGAAAAAACACCAAACAATACCCCAAATGAAAGTACTGTATGGCCTTTTCCTGACTACCAATGATGTTGAAAATTGAAAGAGTTAAGTCCTGAACTCAAGACATGGATCCTGAAACGCGCCCGTGTTCTACATCGGATTTTTTGATTCTTGAACATTTAGGCATGACCTGCAAATAATCAAGACAAGACCCGCAAATCAAAAGTTCAAGTTTGGGAGCGCCTCTAAATTAAGAGTTGATTGTGAAAAACTTCGCGAATTGCTAATACAGGTCGCTTTCCAAGACTTGACCACCCAAACCCCATCCAGGACCTCATTACAAAAATGCTTCCCAACGTCGTAACATGGCGCCTGATATTTTGGGGTTTGATTCCTTTGGTTATGTCCGGAACCGGATTAATAGATTTAAAGCCTAAGTACCGAGCCACCCCTCCCAAGACACCTACTAAAGTCTGGTTTCAGAAATTTTGGACTTAAGTGCCGACGTGCAGGGCTCTACTTGCTACATCAAGGATTTTGACTTCAAGAAAGCATTGACTCCAGGATCTGGTTCCGGAACCTTGAACAAATATTCAGAGCAAGGATGACAATATTGATTCTTGCTGCGGTGATATGAAAACAAGCCAAAGAGACCAAAGCAGAAAAGAACTTGGTGGTATAACAAACGATATTGATTTTGATGCGATCTTTTAAACCCAAAAGGTGTTTTACCTCAAGAAAACACACAACAAACGCCCCAAAGCACCTCAAATTAAAAAACAAATACTGCGAAAATTCAAAGGAAAGAGGAGAAGTGTCTAGTTCCTCACGCTCCCACACATGAATTTTAACAAAAAAATATTGAACCTTGCAAAAACAAAGCAATGACATCTAATTTTTGACATTCCAAGTCGTGAATCTGGCTGCTCCCACTCATGAATTCGTGAAAAAAATAGTTTAACCTTGCAAAATCTACTAAATGTTATCTAGCCTTTGACATTCCAAATTGTGAATTTGGCTGCTCCCACTCATGAATACTGAAAAAATATAGTTGAACCTTGCAAAAACAAAGAAATGACATCTACTTTTTTGACATTCCATATCGTGAATCTGGCCGCGGTTTTGGGCTCAATATTCAGAAATTAAAACTGACACGATTGCAGGCGCTCATCAAATTCACCGCCATGCAAGGGCCAACATATAGATTTCGATAACCCAAGTCCTGAAACATGCGATGGGAAGAACCAACTCCTGAATGCCCCGGGCTCAAACCTGGACACCTCTAGCTGGGAAACTGTACGTCACGAATGATCATATATAATTAAACACACACACACACATGTATGTATATATATACATATGAAAATATGGCAAATGAGACCAGCAAGTGTCCATGTGCAGTAGGTCAATGAGCAAAAATTCATGGATGTCTGATCATCCCAGCAGTGGCTGTTGACTGCGAAATACCCAGTCATGGGATGGATGTACCAACGATGTACCAACACAAATATGTCTATGTGTAGAAGTAGATATTTGTGTTTTCTCATATGCTATACAGTGCATATGACTGTATACGTAATGTATGATTATAAATCTACATGTCGTTGTTGCCATGACCCTCTCCAGTTCTGTGAAAAACTGAAGGCCCCAAATAGTGGCCCACATTTTGGCCCAAAAATCACAAGGCAAAGGTCTGACGCATCCGGTGATGCGCAAGCTCCTTGGGTATTTCGCCTCAGCGAAAGTCCGGGGGCTGGGTCCAAGAGCCATGTCTTGATACATGTTTGAACTATCCAAAACTGGGGATCTAGATCTTTAGTTTCTACTCATTTCATGTACTTACCAAAAGTAACAAATATCCCAACCGCTCGGTTTGCCCCAGAAGATCACAACGATCGTCCCGGCAGCTCCTAGAGCCTCCTACCCTCAAAATCAGGGCACCCACCGCATCACGGCTGGCAGCTTGCGTCCCGCCCTCGGAATCTTCGCGCAGTGCGAGGAGGTGACAAGCACCGTTGCCCACCAGCGGAGGCATTGGGACGTGAAAAATGTCGCACGCCACCTGGGACCATTGGGAACCATTGGGACGTGAAGATATCGCCAGAAATTGATTTTTGATGTAAAAACCACCTCTCTGCCTGGCGTATGTAGTTCTGGTAGGTTCTGGTTGCTTTCAACCCTGAGCATCCCTGAGCATCCCTGAGCCCCATTTTTTTTTTTAACCCGCTCAAGGTTCTGCGCGTGAGACCGCTACCCCCCCCGTGTTGGGGGGAGTCGGCTGGGGTTTCCGCCACCAGATCGTGAAGCAGGGGCTTGCGTCGGAAAAGCATCAGGTTTGCCCGCAACCAATCTAAGGTTGTGCAGGACAGGCGAAGCGCTTCGGTGGTAGAATTGTCATACTCGTAGCCCAGGGCCGCAAAAATCTTGTGGAGGTACTCTGGTGAGTGGCAATTCACATGCATCTTTCCACCTTGCCCGAGGCGGGCCCAGCTCAAAAGCACACCTTTACGGTTCAGAATGGTCCTGGTTCAGAGGTGGATATTCCGAATGAGGTCCTTCTCAAATGCATGTGGGATATGCTCCCCAACTTCCACGGACATCACCCAGGCGGAAACTTCCACAGCCATGGGGAGTGTCAAATCAGCAAACTTCACAGATCCTCCTGTGTATTCTTCAACGTTCCCAGCTCCATCATAGCCACGGTAATCCAGCTTTGGGAGCAGTGCACGAAGGGCATGTCCTGCTTGTCCAACGCCAGCCCCCAAATCTGTCACGGACTCACCATCTTTCAAAAACAGCTTGGAGATGGCCTTTGCGAGGCCCTCGTCAAAGGCACAATGATCTAGTGGCAGGAAGTAATCTTTGTCAACGGCTTGTTTATCCTTGCTGATCAATGTCTGGTTGACTGTGTGGTAGCACCATCCACCAGTGGGCGTGGTGTGGCCTACGGCAGAATTTGCGCATTCAAATTGCGCTTTTTGGTGCTGTTCTTTTCTCTCAGCTTCACTGACCTTTGCAGGCACCTGCAACTCTTTGATGCTGTAACGTTGGGGACAGTCGACATCCCAGCCGCACAACTTATCTCCCCGAACACCTTGAAGCATGCAAGACTCATCGCGCCTGCTCGGGCCGTTTCCATTTGCCAAGGTGGCGTGCATAGCTGCACAACAAAAAAGCTTATTCAAGGAAACCATGTCTCCACAGCCGAGCAGGTAACGGTGCGCGGGTCGTGGGGCGTGAAAATCTGGTCACCTACCCAGGTGTGAAACAAAACCACTGTCATCAACCATAATCACAGGGACAGCTTGAGCAGCTTAAGGGCGACTCCTGGTGCGTTCAGGATGTTTGAACTCGGGGTTAAGCGCTAGGAACACGTTCTAACATTGAATTCAGATGGAATTGCCTGAAAATAGGGCACCTCAAAATGACACAGTTATATAATATATAATCATCATACATCTTCCCCATTTGAACTTGCGGTTTATGGGCGTCTCCCATTTTCAGATGCACCCCAATGGTATTCTGCCGGGAAGTGTCTTTGCCAAGGGGTGGCACCTTTTTATCACATCTTCAGCGATGGATCTCCGTGGTTATCTTATGTTATCTTATCTGGGTTTGTCTGAAAGTGGGGTACCTCCAGTTCCAAAATGTTCCAAAGGGTTTTCGCAACTTTTCACAGAAATAAAACAAAGAAAAAGTGGGATCTGTGGACTTTTCGCTCCTCTATCGCATCTTGAATGTCACATCTCGGAGAAGCCTGTTGTATGTTTGAAACCACGACAAAATATCCAATATACTTTACTCATACATATAAAGGATAGATACAGAGCTAGGTAAATCAATATATGGCCAAATTGTATAATTATATATCATGTATCATTACATCTATACGTATACTGCAAATGATTATGAACATTGCACATGGCCAGTGGCCAGTGGCTAAAAAATACTGTGCTCATATATGATCATGAACTGTGTATATGTATAATGTAATATGTATAATATATATATATATATATATACATATGTATGTATATTAATATATATATATATGCATATACTGTATATATGTATATATGTGTAATAATATTTATAAATATAAATTGCACACATGGTTAATTGTGGGTTGTACCCTTCGTTCACAGCCAAATCGCTGGGATTCATGGATGTTCATCCCCCAAATCTGCTATGGAAATAAGCACGTTGATCCCTCCCAACAGTTGATTGTCCAGTTGTATATCCCCAATGCTCATGGTTAAATATGGTTAAATATGGTTAAATATGGTTAAATATGGTTAAATATGGTTAAATATGGTTAAATATGGTTAAATATGGTTAAATATGGTTAAATATGGTTAAATATGGTTAAATATGGTTAAATGTCCTTAGTTTTCATTATCAAATCCCTATTTTCATATATCTTCCCATGAAAACCATGGCGAACAAGTTCTCCTATCCCCATCTGTGCGACTCAGGAGCTCGGGAGTTCATGGCGCCACACAAGGAGACCCGAAGACACGGTGGCGCCACATCTGGGGCGCCTAGTTACAACAAGCGGATGCTTGGAGAAACTCCAGAAAATCACGGGGGAATCATAGGATTTACATAGAAAATCATGGGATTTACATGATTTACCAGGGTCAAACTATGTCAAATTCACAGCAGCTGTCATAGCATTCTCGTTATCAGTGATCAAGTCATAACTCAAAGTACATTGGTTTTAAAAAATCCAAGTCTGAGGAGGACATCAAAATCCACCAGTTGAGGAACTAGGAAGAACAAAACACATACATATCTAATTAAAGCAACTAATAGACCCAAACATAGAGACGCACCCAAAAAAGACCCGCTACTAAACCCAGCTAATTAAACTAAATATTTGTTTCTAGCTATCACCAACCGAAAATAGTGGTATCATTGGTGTGGAAAAGTAAAATCCTAGCGTCTGAAGTTGCAACGCTTGACTCTTCTGTGTTTTTGGGCGTTGCACGGAAAACTCTGGAGAAAAAAGGACATATTGACCACCGGGAATAGGATGATTGTTGTAACCAAGTGAAACGGAAACTAAATGGTGCTACTAATCCACAATCTTGGATGGTGGTCGAGCCACCCAATATCCATGCCAAAACTATGGGATGGTCAATTGGAATCATCACAATATCATTGACACGTCTATAGAGATTGAAACACATGGTTCACTGCAAATAGTTCGCACACACACGCGCAATATTCAACACATTTCAAAATCAGCTCCCACACACACAACTTACAGTACCCTCTGATTTTGTGTCTCCCCTCCTCCACACCACTCAGTGACCCTTTCTTTATCAGACCCCAAACAGAAGCCGGATTAACTGCCAAGTACTGAGGTAAACATTCAGGGCTGAGATGAGAGACAAACTGGAGATTCAGCCCCCCACAGCAGCAAAAGAACATTGGAAGGTCAAGGGGCATGAATAATCTCAGTGACTCTGCAAGAAAACTCATACAATCTCACATCAGTCTTCTTATCTGGTTCGTTCCTTTTTTCCATCAAGCAACAAATCAACCCACAAACAAACCAAAAAAAGGTCAAACCAAGGGAAATTCCCCAAACAGTGCTGCTCACAGAAGGGCCCAAGGCATCCGACAGTTTCAACCCAAGCAGCTCTTCTGGTTGCTGTCCGAGGACATCTCCAAGAAATTCTGAAATGGCTGCCTCAGCGGAACCCCGGCGCTCCAGATATATGTTTGCTTAAAATTAAAACTGGGAGATGACGAAGATCTTGTGGGATGTGGGTTGAACATGAACGATACACCAACATGATCCGGGTCAAATACGTATATTTCATGCTGCCCCCATTTCTTCTGCTTCCCATGTTTGTGTTGGTCGTATCCAAAAGTGTTGCCAATTTCAGTCCACATTGCTTGTTTACTAATTTCTTTATTTGAATTGAATAGGAACCTCTTCTTTGAAATTGTTGGATGGTTGAATGCCGTGTTGTTGGTGGAGTTTGAAACCTTTCTCCAATCCATTTTCTCAATGATTGTGGGTTCAACAGCTTTTTCTGCTCATGAACTCTCTGGCTGTTATTTGTAAAAAAAAGTTAGTCAAACAATCCACCACTGGTCGTTTGTGTTTTTCCTCGTTCAATCTGAATTTGGGTTGGTTCAGTTCAATCCTAACCTTTGCCGATTCAAGAGTTCAACTCTGGCTTTTGGTGCGCTCCCCATTTTTGCGGCTTAATATCCTGACAACTGATACTTGAACTGATCACCTTTCTCGGCTAAATACCTTTATTTTCGGATTCTTTGATGATGGTGAAATCTGAATTAGTTTATTTATTTCCCATGTCATGTCGCTTGATCAAAACTGCTTTGGAATATGAGCTTCATGCTCTTAGCCTGAGATTTGCAGCTCTACATCCATTTGTGTGTATTATAATATCATAATACATCTTAACCTGGAAATAAGCCACCCCAAGAATACCACAATCACTGTGTATCATTGTGCATTGACCGCCGAACGGGCCGAACTCGGTCACGTTGCTGCTCGTCCGCCGCCACGTAGCGCAGCATGTCATTGCCGTGCCTTCGCAACGAAATCAAAGATGGCAATTGGACAAATGAGCTATAAATGGAGGTTTTAATGGGAAATCCCCTATGATTAAATCGGTTTCCCCTTCATTGATCGTAGGATATTTCCCATTGCCATGTTTGCTTCTTCCCAAGTGCTACAGTAAGTTGCACGAGCTATTATATTAACATCCCGGAAGTTGTTGTGTTTTTTGATGGCTGAGTATCCCGACCACGGGTCGGACACCAAATCTCCCCTAGAGTATAGAAATCCCTGCCATCTGCAGTCAGGCTTCAGGTTGGTGCTTGTCATCAGCAGGTGCTTCAAACACTCATGGCCTGAAACAAAGGAGGCCAGGGTTGCGGATGAAATCTCATGCGTAAATTCAAGTCTCCAACTGGGGTTTGTCTGAGAATGGGGTATACCGTATACACCCATCAAAGAACAGTGAACAAAGTGAAAAACATTGAACAATTTTTTTTTTGACAACACGTGAAAATACTTACACTCATTAAGTCGTCAAATTTGGAGCTTCCACGACTATTCCACGACTATTCCACCACTCAAAGCTGCCGAAAAACTGCCCTGGATCCGCAAATCGCTGTCTAAGAGGACGGCACCATCGCCTAAGGAGATCTGGGGAAGTAGCTGGGGTGCTGGATTGGATCCATCATTTTTTCCATCTTTTTTTCAGTGCTCATCCCGTACCAAACCACATGCTCTTGCTGTTGAGCACTGAAGAAAAACATAGAAAAACAAAAAAAACATCAAAAAAACCTCTCAGAAAGGTGTTCAAAAGTGTTGCTTTGAAAGATGCTCACAAGATCACACAAGAGTTTTCACCAATAACTCGGGGATGTAACTAGAGCCATTCTCACCAACAACACAACCACAATCTCACCCCTTCTCATGATATATAAAATACATCTATATACATCTATATATATAATTATATATATATATATATATACACCATCTGGTTATTTAACATAGCCATGGAAAATGGCCCATTTATAGATGGTTTACCTATTAAAAATTGAGATTTTCCATGGCTATGTTAAATAACCAGATGGTATATATATATATGTATGTATATGTATATTCCTGAAATGCTACAAATCCACCCTTAACTCGGTCTCTGGCATGTGCGGTTCCCAAAAACTGCAACTGTCACACAAAAAAAGCTCAGTGAGGTCCATTTCTATGAAGTCCTAAGATGATTGACAGGTTTCGCCAATCGCAAAGTCACCAAAGTCACCAAGCAGTTTATGACATGATCGCTATGTATCCAAACATATGCGGGGATTCTGCAATGTTGGTGAAATTGTGATCAGGTGTCTCGATATCCTTGGACCCGAGGGGATGTTGTCCAACTGTGGGACTAGTACCACATATTTTCATGTGAACAATCACAAATTAGAGCAGAAAACCATGGAATGTTCAAAAAATGACTTCTGGCCCAAGCATGAGGCAAGCTACAAAATTGGCCTTTACATCACCATCCCCAAAATGCCGGGTTTTTGTACTGAGCAATGCCAAAATTGCAATCAAAATCACATCATATATTCGTGGCTGAGGTCGACACCCTGGTTTGTAGCAGCAAAATAGATGGATGGCCAATAAACATATTCAGTCACTATACTATATAAAGGTAACCTATATAACCATAATTAACCATGATTCTCGGATATTCCATAAGAATGATGGTGAACAATGCCGATTCCTTTCATTATGGAAACCAGAACCATGTATTTACCATACCTAATCAAATGGCAGCCGGTTTCCTCCATCACATAGTCAAGTCACAAACTGCACGAAGCATCTTGCGGAAACTCTCGAGCCTCGACGTTGTGTGCCCGAGGTCCGACTTTGTCAAATCTGTAGGAATTGAGGGGCCAGGAATCTTAGAATCTTCTGTGGCCCTAGTGATGTAGATATACATACCAGGACCAGGACTACCCAAGGGGTCCCACTGTGATTTCTGAAATTGACATCTTTCAGGGGTTGAAAATCATATGGGTAGCTCTGGGCCATATTCTGGGAGCATACCCAAAGATCAACCTATCGCCCTGGAGTCAATCACCATGTTGACGAGGTCAACCACTGCTGGACCCCGGACCAAGATGGAATCCTGGAACATCACAAACGCTTTGAAACGACCCATAAATAAAGCAACAACTAATTCAGAAATGTCAGATAGGCATATGTGCACACATATTTCTATATGTACATGTGCATGCATTTACTTTTGTATAATTACTGCATTTATGTGTACATCTGCATGTATGAATAGATAAAATAGTGAAGGGTTCATCTGTCATGCCATAAGCATCCTAGTAACCAACTTTTGGGATGCTATCTTTATCAATTTTCTCAATCATCCCACTGAAAAGAAAGTGCTATACCACCACCACTGTACCTGTACTATTGGGGACACCACCCATACACCACTCTCAATTCAATGACTTCAATTATTTCCAAGGTTCATCCAAGTTCTATTTGCTGATTGTTGCCGAAAACAGCCCCGTTTCCGAAAACGGCCCTAGGCTGCCCTGCATGGTCTCTGCCTCTGCTGTGTCTAGCAAGGCTTCTAAGCGAGACCTCCGTCGAGGACAACTCAAGTTATCAAACATCATACGACGTCATACAGCAATATAGTAATTAATCCCCAAATATAGATGGACAAGTAAATCGCCATCAAATTAGTGGGGATGTATTTTTTCACGGTCTATTTGGGGATGACTATAATCCCATCGACACATCTTTGGTGTATGATGGTTATGACTGTTAACACCATTTTTGTGATCATGTCTCAGAGGCAACATCCCATGGAAATGACATTTAACATTAAACAGCAGCATCTTTTTTTTGGTCCCAAAGAAGTGAACATCCTCATCCACCATGGTGTCCTCTGGGCATCATATATTTTGGGTCGACCCCGCGACGGCGATCTCGTGATCGACCCAAAGGCCGCTGAATGTTGGTGCCAACAGGATGAAAAAAAAATCCTACCCTGACGGATGGTGATGTAATATGGATATCACCGTGATGCTTGAGGTAATGGGGATGGGGGCACCCCAAATGAGGTAAAAAACACAGCAGACTAAGGCAACAAATTCGCCTGGCTTTCTCTAGATAGGCCCGCTATGGCCCGCTCCCGGCACATCCTTCTGTTTTGACGCTGAAAATAGCTGGGTGAATCATGGAGCAACCACAAAAGCCTCAGTGAAAAGCCACCAAGTGCGACAAACATCCCTCCATGAAAGCTAAGTTCTGGCACCTTCGAATCAAAACTGGCACACACACATTTATAATCATTTATAATTATATGTATATATATATAATATTTATATATACTATATAGAGGTGATTCATGATGATTTACCTTTATGATTTTCCATATCTGACATAACCCGAATCAGGGTGTTTCTTCAACCAGAGAAGGAATCGTGACGCAGCCAGGCCCGCAACACCCCGCCGGCCTGATCAACCATTCCACTGCCATTGAGATGGTCATGACAGAGGCATAGATGTGGACATCGTCCAGCCTGAATTCGTTCTTCAAAAAATGCTGGTTGGGCCTGCAAAATATGAAAGCTGGGACATGCTAAAACCATCTTCCCGTAGGGTCAACCTTGGCCAGGAATAGCCCACAGAAACCTTCGAGCAGCCCATGGTCGTCTCATGCTGTTTTAGCTTTGAAAGGGTTCAGCATATTTCGCAAAACCGCCCCAAATCCAGTGCAAAAGCGGGCTTCACACTGGGCCCCATCAGTCCCCGAAACAGTCCAGACCAAGATGCGCTGCTTGCATGAAGGGTCGACCTGCTGACACTTCCTTGCGGAGAGTTTCGCTTCTGGATTTGCATCACTTCACAGCACAGAAATCTAAGACGGAGCCTGAAAAATGGGCAACGCATCAGATCCACCAAGATTACTTTCCTGCTATATGTTGACATTTGAGGTTTCACGTTCAAATTCTTGCAAACCACTTTTAAAAGCTTCAATTTGAACCCATGTTCACACATGTTAATATACGTATTTAGGATTATTTAGATATATGTATGTGCGTATATCTAAACATGCTATAGAATGCTATAGATGTATAAACAGTGAAACTTGCTTCACCTGTCCAACAGTAACTTCATGACCTGTATGCGTTGATAGTTACTTGCACATCCTAAGGAAGCAGTTTCTGAAGCTAAGCAGCTAGGCCATGCACAAACTACATAGCCACTCCTCATGCGATTGGCCAGTTGTATCGATTACTTTTTATGCGTAGAGTTGGTGTTTCCCTGCAGTGCAAATGGCTCACCCACGCTTCCAACCCATTCCACACCGGCATTTCTCTCAACGATTTATTCTTTCAAGAGAGTCTTATCCACTCCTTGTCACCTGGTTTCTTTTCTTGTGGGGTCTAAATTTACTGCCTTCAACACCTCACAGTCATGGGAGGAAGGGGTTGAGAATAGTCACTAGTCACTAACATCTCTGTGTGTCTGTGTGTATGTGTGTCTGTGTGCAAACCATGCTAAAAATTCGCTTGCCAGTTCGATTGCCAGCCAGTAGACCCCATCTTCAACCCCAAACTGAAGATCTTCATCTCGTTGCCAGCTAGCCTTGATTCATTCTATAGCTTATTTTAGGTTTTAGGATGTTTTAGATATCTCCCCGAGATTTGCGGAACAATAACAGCCGACTTCCGTGAGTCCGTGAGCCCAACATAGATCCGAGGCAACCGCCCAAGTCTCAGAGAAAATGGAAGCAACGGATGCCAGGAACTGACACACTGCAGACAACCTCTGCGGCTGTGGCCCAGAAATTGGCGAAATCTACTATGATCATTGGATACACAGTGGGGTTTTGACATGTTGTGATTAGGCCACCAACGCTTGACTTAGCTGTTCACTGCCATCGGTCCATCAAAATTGCTTGAGCGATGTATAAAACAACCACCCCGTCCACGCGACAGATCCACGCGGTCCGCCACTTGGCCCTGATTAAGATTGTGCTCAGGAGGCGACTGTGTGTCGATGAAGACCATACTTAAAACCTGATTCCAGCGTCAGGCTGAGGTCGGGTGGCCCAATGTTACTTACCAACGTAAGTACTTGTGGAACGGCCCTCTGAATGATCAGAAAGCCGTTGTTTTCCCTATTCCAAATACACAAGTAGTCAATAACTCGAAAAACACCAAAAAGATTATAAGAATTGCGAGGTGGTAGCATTTTTCACATCACGGCATTCAGAAGCAACATATAATCCCGTGAAGTGTCCATATTAACCTCACACCAAGCGTGCAAAGACCATAGCACGAATTGAAGCTGTGGCAGTCTGGACACATATCGCGAGGCCAAGGTAAATTTGCAGCTCATCAAGGCGTCCTTAGCACAGTAACATCTCCAGGATGCGGCTAACAGCCATGAAATATGACCATATGTGGTTTATGTATGTTTATTCATTGGTTGCTTATATGTGTATGCGTTGTAAAACTATGATTATGGAATATCCGCAATTTGTGGGCTATGCGTACTGCAAATATATATATATATATATACATAATATACATATGGGTTACACTATTTTTCTATGGACTATAAATCACCTACAGTTCAAGGCAAATTCAATTAGTCTTTGGTGCAACAAGGTCAGTTGAATATGGGGCTGTTTCTAAAAACACTCGGGTCTGAAGGTCCGGAGTGTTGCCGGAACACTCGGGTTAAACAAAACAGCGGGTTCTTGTGGTTGTTTATCATTAGGGGAAGGGACTCAAAGCAACTCTATATAAAATAATGCAAAATGAGATTATCTAAGTCATGTTGAAATAAGCTGAAACTGTAAAATTGGACTGAACCATGGTTTGTAACCCCAAACTACCCAGCTCTAGCAAAAGTATGCCCGAGAAAGGGATATATACACATATATTAATATATATATATAATATTCACTGGATGCTTTAAAAGTTTTTCTACGAAGTTGCAAAGTACTTTGTAAAAACCCTGTGCGGCAATCCCTTCCCCTAAAAAGTATTAGATACTGTCCCAGGGAAATTTCGGTGTAGTATTGGATCTATTCATTCCGGGGTCTCATATTATAATATCTGGGGATGGCATGTTATTGGCCTTGGGCCTTGGGGCCTGAAGAAACAGAGCGACTTTCACCGTTTCGACCACGTTTCACACCTGAAATACGGCTCCATTCGGCCCAAAAACTTCCTGCCCAAGCATCATCAACGGACTTAAAACGTGGCGTCAACAGAACGAACACCACAAACCTGCGATTTGGTGCAGAATCGGTGGGAAACATTGCAGGCTGCTCGCTTGGGCCGCTGAAATTCATGCTTTCCTGTAGGTCGTCCCTCAAAACCGACCGAGTGAACTGAGGGTTCTCAAACCACACGAAGCAGGAAACAAATATGCTCTGGTAATTTTCAACAATCTATAGTGGGTGCAACTCACCCCACACAAGGAATTTGTGCTCATCAGGAATTTAAAATTTTGTATGTTGCTCCTGTGAAATCTCACACGCAACCGAAACATCGGATACTCCAATAAGAGAAACATCTGCCAAATTCATTTCTTGGAGTTCCGTTTCGCAGTTCGGAAATGACACTATGAATTTAGATGCACCACTAAAAATGTGCAAACAAAAGGACGAGGTCTTTAGCCGGTCTTCTCTTTCCCCCAGCCATACCCCCACATAGACCGAAGGAACTGGAGGTATATGCTCAAGGACATCCAACGAATATGACCTGGGGATGGGTGAGACATTCGATGCGTCGAACAAAGCTACTCAATCCCAGAAAATTGTATGACAGTTTATCATCCGTAGATTCTCAGTAAAGGATCATAATCATATACGATTCGGCACAAATAATTGGCAGAAACCACTGATTTTTCACTGCAGAAATTCAACCAAAAAACAACCCATTTATATCAGTTGAATCGATAATCAAGAAGTGGCTTTATTTTAAGCCCCCCCTACTGCTGGGTCTTGAGTTGACAAAGCCACTAATAGAAGAGGCAACTAAAGCCCTCTACCAACTCAACATATGTACCCTTCAATTGAGCACGTTGTAATGAGGAACCCCATCGGTTTTTTCCATAACCACCTAGGGTTGATTGGAATCGTGTCTCATGATAATCAGTTCATGTGAGGGCAAATATATATATATATATATATTTATAACCATGTATAAACATGTTCATATGTAATGTAGGCATTCACGTGGTCTCAGTATTTTGGGGATAAACTCCAGTTACTCCAGTTGTGTAATCTGGGTGTTCGTTCATCTCTTGTCCAGCCACTAGTGACCTGCACACATCCAAGTACCCATAAGAACGGGTGAAAAGTCCATTAATTTACGGTCAAATTCTTAACAAAAAAATATTACGGGTAAACTTAAACCTTGAGGCCTAGGTACATGAATCAGGAGGCAAAACAAAATATAACCATAGTATAGTATAGTATAGTATAGTATAGTAAAGTATAGTATAGTATAGTAAAGTATAGTATTAGTATAGTATTAGTATAGTATAGTATTAGTATAGTATAGTATAGTATAATATAACACAATATAATATAATATAATATCATATTATATAATATTATAAAATAATATAATATAATATAATATAATATATAATATAATCTATAATATAATATAATATATAATATAATATAATATAATATACGTGTAAAATAAAAAAATACCAAATTAAAATATATTATAAAATATCAATATTATAATACAGAAAACACATAACAATAACATAACATATATTATAATAAAATAAATTAATACAAAATAATACATAATATAATATAATATAATATAATATAATATAGCATATTATATAACATAGTATAATATAATACAACATATCATATTATAATATAATATAATATAATGTAATACAATATAATAAAATATACTTCAACATGATACAACTTTAAAATTCAGCAACCTTCACTGAAGAGTTAGGTCTCAAATTTTGCCCAGCTACATGGCTTGGGTTGCCAGAACTTTCCAGCCACAATCCTTGGCACTTGGAATTTGCACAGCGCGTGCGGACCCGGAAAATTCAGAGAGGTCCATAGTCGAATCCTTTTTACCGACAATGGATGGAAATGAATTGCAGGTCAATGCTTTTTGTGGAATTGATGAATTTTTGCATGCAACATCATCACTTGTCACGGATGTGGTCCCGCTTTGCCCAAAACCAGCACCCTACAGCAAAAGGCCAAGACAGTCTTGAGCTTCTCCTATGCCAATCTTCCAGGTGCAAACAGACAAAGCTGCTGGTGGAACACCCGAATGACCTGACCCCACCTGACCCCCTGGAGCTTGCAGTAGGGCCACAAGGGAAAGATTTTGCAGCTAGCCCGGCAAACACCAAACTGCAAGCCATCTTTACCCTGCAAGGCCCAACTTTTCTAGGATCTTTTCGTGAGCCCGGTGGCAAATGCTGCACATAGATGCCCGCCACGATGAGAATCTGCGGTATAAGATCCGGATCCTGCGAAACAAAGTCACTTCTTGGACGGAGTATGAATGCGAACTTCAGCATTCCCTTGGTATCTTGGCCTTACCCGCTACTCAAAATTAACTCCCAGATTAATCAATGTTTGGGTACGAATTGGATCCAATCGCGGAATTACGTGGCATTACCCAGCAACTAAATGGTCATATATATATATATATAGGGTGAAGGCTGGGGGTTTCCCGGAAGCCAATTGCATTTTATTTGTATGGATATGGAAAATGTTGATTTTACACTGTGTCTTAAAGTGTTTTATGCTTTTCTCTGAAAGTGTTCGATCAGCCAAAGTTTCAATGTCGGCGCGGATAAACTTGACGTTAGTTTGTCCGCGCAGAAAAATGATAAATTTACATCTTCCATGGACGGCCAAACATGTGTGCAACATTCTAACCATTGGAATTGCGGTTTCAAGCATTTTTGGTCGTTTTGTTGATAACTAGAAATCTCATAATTCACTGGAGAACCATGGACGAAATGAACATCACACCTTTTTCATCTTCACGTCCACCAAGGCTTCTTGAAGCAGTTGCTTGGAGCGAGAGCATCACTGGTCTTCTGCAACGTCACAACATCTTCAAGGAAGCAACATCCTCAAGGCTTCCACAACTCTCAATCCAACGCGCTCCACATGACGTTATTACACCCCACCCCACCCCCCCACCTCCCCCCCCCCACCTCCCCCTTCTGTAACAACAACGATACTTGCAACGTAACAACATCTTCAACGAAGCAACATCCTCAAGGTTTCCACAACTCTCAATCCAACGCACTCTACATGACGTTATTACACCCCCCCACCCCCCCACCCCCCATCTCCATATATAATAACGACGTTTATAGTATAGGCTCAAGACTGAGGGTTCCTGGAAGCTCCCCCCAGCCTTGAGCCTATATATATATATATAAGCTAAGAATCATCAACAACTGCGGCGCCCTGGGTGGATAATTTGCGCCAGCCACCATCACATCCACAAGTCAGTTCCAACCAATCCATCTCTCATTGCAGCTGGAGACTGTGCTCCCACCTCATCCTTCCTAGCTACTCAGCTGTTGCTTGACATCATCTGCACCAAAATTCGGTGAGACTTATGGTTTATGGTATCTATACTGTACTTAATGGATTATCAACCAACAGCTGGGGGGTGCGTCACCTTGTACCATTCTAAGTGAGACCGGAAGGCGTTTCGGTCCCACTTCAAGCTCCTGTGTTCTTGCGAAGCTCGCCAAGAGAACGAAGCTGTGGCCTGGTCAAAATGGTGCAAAATGGTGAACAAAAGATCGGTCTTATTTGGTGGTTCACTCCAGTTAGTAAGTGGGTTATATTCCAGTTATAGATGGATTCACAGGGATTATATACAGTGACCCTACTTATCCTACTTATAACTTGGATACATTATGATATAACCCACTTACTGGAGTGAACCAGCCAGTACCTCACTTCACGATTTGGGGCTTGGAATGTCTTTCTGTGAAATCACCTGCCAGAATCACTTAAAATTGAGTTTATCATTGGACTTACGACAGCAAATATCCCCAAATGGATCAAAATGGCATGTGTTCTGACTATGACCAGGATTTCTTGGGGTTTCCACCAAGATTTTGAAGAAATCTTAGGCTGAAAATGAAAATGACTGGTGGGTGGTTTCAACCCCCCTGACGATTACAGTAGTTCTTAGTAAGGTGGGATAATTATCTTATTTCTGGGGTTGAAACAAAAATGTGTTTGAAATCACCGGCTGAGTTAGAAAAAAACGACCCTTCTCTATGCTTCGACCCCACTGAAAGCTGCCTTCCAAGGTGCTGGATATTCACCCAGAAAGCCAACAATTTCGTTGGAAAAATTGGACTTGTCCGAATGAATTGTCCTCTTAGAATCCCTTCTTCCCAAAACATAAACAGACCACCACTTTTTGGGTGTTCTAGACTTACTCTCCCATAAACCAAGATAGCTTTTGACAATCCACTATATATTTATAGATGATTTACTTACCTATTCAACATATTCTGCACAGCTATGTAACAAATTTCCGAAGGTTTAAAAAAAAGATGGTAAAACCACCAAAATCAGCCGGACCATTTGACTTATCCAACGATTTTCTCGCGGACAGATGCAACGTGCCTGCTCCCAAATGCACGAAGACTCGTGCACACAGAACCTTGGTTGCTGGGTATCCCCTCCAGTCAAACCATGGCGGAAACCCCGGCGGAATCCCCATCCAACAAGGTCAACAGCCTGAACAGCTGATTACCAGAGGGGTTCAATGTTCGCCTCATCCCTGGGAACACTTGATCGAATCTGCCGTACCTGCCATTGCCTACTCGACCGGGCAACGTTTTTATTCATGTATATGTATATATATATACTATATACATACACACACACATATATATATATATATGTGTGTGTGTACATGTATATATATATATATACATATCTATCTCTCTCTCTCCATAAACCGGCTATCATCCACACGTCTTGCCTACTTCTCCATATGATGTGGATAGAGTTATGTGGGACATAGGCAGGCAGTTGCAGAACGCAGTCTGTTGTTTTCATTTCATGGATCTCCAAGAATTAAGAGATTGCGGTCCTGAACTGGACTTGGAAAACGAAGTATAGAAACCTCCACAAAGATGGAACTGTATGTTACCACCTTCTTGGTAGGAGTAGACTTTTTCTATCTTTTTCGGGGTTGCTATAGGGACCTTTATGGGAGACTAGCTCCAAGTTCCGGTTCCACATGCCAAAGAAACATAGTTCGTGCGCCGCAGCTCCAGTAAACCTTCATAGCTCCTGTAAGGTAAGATGGCTGTGTCTGAACATACCCACAAAGTTGCAATTTTAACACGGAAAATATGGGAAATGGATGCCGAATCACTAAATTTAGAGGATTTGGGAGTTTATTTTCAGGCAAACCCAAAACGGGTGACCCAAAATCTCACAGCATTCGTTGTAGAAACTGAGTGCTGCCTTCTACACCAGGCACTTGGCTGGGCACAAAGATAGAACCTGCAATCCTGCATGAACCAGTAAAAAAACATCTATATGGCGGTTTCCATAAATGATGGTACCCCAAGAGCTGGATGGTGTATTTCATGGAAAATCCCACTGAAATGGATGATTTGGGGGTACTCATTTCTCCGCTCCAATTTCTTCGATGTCTTTACGACATGCCAATGTCGGGAATTCCAGCTCATGGAAGGTACTCAAACAACTTGCTTATGAAGTGGAGCCAGCATATATATATATATGTGTGTGTGTGCGTATGTCTATATATATATATATCTATCTATATATTTATATTCATTCCGTAGTTATATTAAAATACACATATATATAGTATACCCAAATGCTCCATGTATGGTATATTTACCTATATTTAGGTTATTTTTGGGGTCAATGTTGATACATATAATGATCAACTCTGCTTCACCTCCCCTTTGCCAACGACCGCCATGGACAGGGCCTTTGTTTCTTCGCCTTGGAGTTGTCGGCAGGCTCCGTCCTCTCCCGAAGCTTCTCCCTCAGGCGAAGCCATAGCCTCGATGTCGCGAGGAAGAGGATCGCGTCAGCGATGTGTTTTTTGTATATTGTGGGATATTGTGGGAAATATGTTGTGGGATATTGTGGATATTGTGGGAAATATGTTGTGGGATATTGTGGGATATTGTGGGATATGTTGTGGGAAATATGTTGTGGGAAATATGTTGTGGGAAATATGTTGGGAAATATGTTGTGGGATATTGTGGAAAATATGTTGTGGGAAATATGTTGTGGGAAATTGTGGGAAATATGTTGTGGGATATTGTGGGATATTGAGGGATATTGTGGGAACTATGTTGTGGGAACTATGTTGTGGGATATTGTGGGATATTGTGGGATACAGTATTCATCCCTGGAATTTGGGATATTGTGGGAGAATAGTGACTGAATAGTGCCATAGTACTCGCCAATCAGATCAATCAGAAGATATTAATATGATAATAGATCTCCACTAATCTGACAAGGCTAGATGGGAATTCCCCGAACTAAATCATGGAATTTTCTTGCTTGGAAAATCATCGGGTTATTGCTATTCATTGCTATGTTTGATTATCGGAGGGTAGTGGAATTTATGGGGACCCCCAATGATGGGACCCACAATAACATGGGAAGATTGTGGAAATGGTGCTTTCGTCATTGGGCGTCCTCATAAATTCTGCGGAAATAAATATCAATGATTGTGTTTAGATCTTTCGGTAAGGATAAACTACTCAATCTCTTAACATGGCGTGATTTTCAATGAAGCCATCAACCATCCGTGAAAATTCATCAACATCCCATAAACAACTGGGGAGTCATGACTATATGACTGGTATAGTATAGCCTGCAAAATGTTTAAAATCACTCCACTAGTACGGGATCACTCCAAAACTCCCCAAATATAGCCTGCAACAAACATGCATGATATCAACCATTCTATTCGTTATACTTCATGTGTCCCAAAGGTGTAAATTCTGATGGTTTAGCTTGCCCATGGTAAATCCTAGAGGAGAATGATGGTAAAGATTGTTGGGTACATAAATAAAGACTTCACAATGGCCTTAGTTCATGGAATCAGACCACACATCCATTAAGATCCATGAGAACCCATGAATCATACCATGAACAATTTGGCGTGGACATCCATTCGCATAATTTTTGTATACGTCCATTCTTTTCTAGATAAACCATGTTTTGTTTTTATGTCTGTTAGTTTGCAAGTTTGCTGGAGAATAATCCCCCCAAGATCGCTATCCAAGAGGCTTGGTAGACTGGGGATCGGAAACGGGATATTTCATAGCGATGAATCATCCAACTCAACTGGGATAGCTCAGGATGAGAAACAACTGAGAGCTTTCTATGGGGCAGAGCCCGGATGTAAAACATAAGTCATCATCTGTGGCTGTCTAGCTGGTGATTAGGCAACCTGATTAGGCTGTCGCTGTATACTTGGCTTCATCCCGGGTGTGCATGGCAGACATTCGAAACAAGCAAGTTGTGTCTAATGTGGGTAAAACAATAATAAACCATCCCATTTGTTGATGGTTTATACATCCCATTTATGGTGATTTTGGGGATGGTTTATTAAATATAAATTATTTGTTTTATCCACATTCTGGTGAATTGACGTCAAAAGTTTCAGCGGAATGTCATCCAGCATCGTGGTGATGGGATAGTGACTGATACAGAAGCTTAACGGGTCTAGTTCCTCGCGGAAAATCGGGTGAAGATCATGAACATGAATAAAACTATCCAGCGGTTACAAACGCCTTTCACCGGCGGTTTGCAACCAGTCCTACAACTCTCTAATCAACAAAGAAAGGTGACGCTTCGTAGCACTTTCAGTTTTATCGAAGATAAGATACCGTAGATGTACGAAATATTCAAACCCTTTTAATCGTAAACAACCCCCTCGCCCCCAAAGTTCAATGTTAATGCAGCCTGAGGGTCATTAGCCCCCATGGACGAAAGAAACCCAACCCTCAACATGACTTTTGCAAATGCGCGCGCTGAAACATTCAGATTCGGGGGCGCCGGGGTTCAACATAGTGCGTGTTGCAGTGTTTGAACAGGTTGTCCACCTACTGTTTAAAGCCACCAAGCCATCTCGATCTGTCAGCTGCTGGTTGTATCATCCATCATGAGGGATACCCTCCGACAAGATCCAACAAGCACATCTGGCAAAGGAGCGTACGCCACTTATAAGCATGTTTTCCTATCTTCGGGAAATCAAACATGGCAATAGAAAGTCCCCCATTTATGGATGAATGTCTCATTCGACCTCCATGTAGTTCGGGGAGTTCCCATTGCCACGTTTGATGAGTTCCATGCTTCCAAGGGTCCAGAGTCCCATGTTGGATCCCATATCTTTGGAGTCCGAAGGAACAGCGATGCAAGGCATCCAAGAAACTGACCCGCAAAGGACTGCACATCTTTTCCTCAAATCGAGACGATGGTGAGGTGACACAGGCTTGCCCCGGTGGTAATCAAACATTTGGCAAAGGGAAATCACAAAGTTCAAGATTACAGATATTCCTAGAGGATCTTCCTATTGTCTTGATGCCGATTTTCTTGGATGGCTGGAGACCAAAGGTCTATGTATGCCAAGTTTGGGCATAGCACAAAGGCCACACAGCAGCTATTGACTTTCCTGGCCACGGGCCACGCTGTATGTGCATAAATATATATACAAACATATAATATATATATATGTATTATGTATCAACAAAAATATTCCCAAACAAGCCAACATAATCCAAAACATATGTGTACATATTATATATAAATAGCTCCAATTCTTATCTGCATCCGACTACTTAACAGCTTGCTATATCCAATCACCTGTCTCTACTAGCAGCTACGAGCAGTTGGCTTGTTGCAGGTTCCTAATCCATCCCTCCACTTCGGAGGAATGAGGGTTCTCAATCAAGACCAAGGTGCCCGTCAACAAGACATGAAGGGTCAGAAAAATCACGCAACACGATGCCGCCACACACGAATCCATAGCCGCCAGAGACATCCCAATATGCGACAAATTACCCCACCTCTCCAGCTGGGACTACTTTCCGAAAGCGACACAATGCTTTCAAACTTCTTGGATCTTCTTGGGTGTGGGCCATGGGGTCCTGACACGTCCTCAATTTCATGATATTCCCCTTTTGAGGTCTGTGAGCCAAAATAAGGGCTGCGGCGGTCTTGCGAAGATCCTGTGGGCTTCCGTCTCTAGGGATGATGAAGTCATTTGATGCACGGCTAGTGAGGTATGACATGACCCATGGTTACCATGAGAAAACCATCTTGCATCGACACAATGCAGGAAGAAGTGCTCCAAAACCTCATCCGTTGCAGCTACTATTTTTTCGTGTAATGCTGTGAGCTTGTTTAAAAAATCCTTATATCAAACCTTGAACCAACCCTTTATCAAGGAAATCCATAGGGACAAGCAACAAACATCGGTCATCGATGATCATCGTGAATACATGTCAACTTGATTTTGGAATATGTTGGACATTTGGACATCAAATTCACTCTTGGATTTGTTGCTTTTTGAGCCACCCATCCTAAACAAATATAAGCGTCATTCATCGGGAATCGTCATCATCATCATCATCATCATCATCACATGTCAATGGTTGAACATGGGCAACATTTCAAACCACCAATTTAGGTTGGAACATTTTGGAAATATGACCCAGGCCAACACATCCCACAGCCATGGGGATCTACACAATGTGGGGCCAGCGATAGATAAGCTGATAACTCCAAAAAACAGTACTGGGATTGATTATCTATTTATCCTTCAGTAATTCAACATGGCTATGAAAAAGGGTCCATTTTTAGATGACTCACCTTTTAAACATGTGATTTTCCATAGCTATGTTCGAATTACCAGAGGTCACAGTTCGTATTTCTACAGTTAAAATTAGATATGGTATGGGTGTGGGTTTGCTGTTTTGTATGGGTGTCATGTACACCGACAAGAAGGCCCTCCTCAGTTAGAAGTTGTTTTGCAAACCCGTGTAACATCTTGAAACTATATAGACTATATAGATATTGGATGTACCCACTGTAACTGTAAACATCTGTAAACCCTATTTATGAAAATGTTAAACCAACTTACCTGAAGCAAACCCCAGATTAATGAACTCTGTTGATGAATAAGGGGGGCTTACCCCCAAATAGTGATAAACTATGATAAACCACTATCCAAATTGGTAACCCCCCAAAGTAAACCCGGGGGTTGTTCATCCTGGATAAACAATATCCACTCCGATGGGCCATGCAGTTGGCTATATAAGTAGCTAGTAAGTGGATTGTACCAAAAAAAAATGCATGTTTGTTTGTTTGCGGATTACATCGGGTTACGATCACCGGTTAGCTAACGTTGGCCCGTCGAAGGTCTAAGTATTCGGGGCGCACCGAAAGATCTACACGAAGTTCCCAAAGAACCGACTAAACACAAATCTAAGAACCGAAACCAATTCATTGGTTACACCCGATTTAAATTTAAAAAATAAAACCAATCGAGATCCATTGGAAATTGGGAAAAATGGAGGTTTTAAAACCATTCAAACATATTCAAAACCTCCATTTTCCCTCGGGGATCTCCCCATCAACCGACCCTTCACCTGAGCTCGTGGCCACGGCACACGCACGGTGTCGCGCCACCCTCAAACTGCTCACTGTGCACCAGCGGCTGGGCTTTTGCGCATCAAAGTCGTAGGATTCCACGGTGCCTGGATCGTGCGGATGGGACTCCAGAAGGAAAAGGCTGGCGATTTAAAACTAGAAAAGTTACCATTGGTTGGTAATACACTGTTAATATATGGTTAATATAAATTGTTATTATATGGTTAATGATGGTTAATGATAACCTGAAAAATACGAAAGTCAATTGGGATGATTATTCCCGATATATGGAAAAATGTTCCAAACCACCAACCAGAATAGTATGTCAAGAATTGGGATTTCACGTGATTCGATCAAACAATGAATCATAGCCCCATAGTCATCAAACATTGGGATTGAAGCAGCAAAATTTGTGAGTCATGCTCTGTGGCTGAACTTGACTGCCACCTATACACAGTTGCCAGTTCCAAGAAGGAATACAACTTCCAAAGTGATTCTTTGAGGATCCGTTTCGGTTTTCAGTGGGGTATCCCACTTGTCATGTGGTTCATAGTTATGGAAATTGCGCATTTGTAAAGAGAAACCAAACTTTGCCTATATCTAATGCACTCACAATCATTGTACTTATACTTATCTCTGCTGGTTACCACCAGTTTTCTTTGGCAGGTCATACATCATCATACATCTATAAACAAGTGGTAACATCACCAAATATATAATGATATTGTCCTGTCTGAAAACAGCGCACCCGCAAAATCCCATGCTGTATCATATGTTTCCTATGAAAACTGTGATAACTTTGGGCCACCCCCCCATTTTCAACAGACCCAAATATCAATCATATGTTGATTACAGTAGTTAAATCCCATTAATCACATTGTATACCCGTGAATTCAACCATTGCATTTACAAATGAAAGACACCACTGTACAGTTGAATCTTGCTAAACATGTTGTCGATGTTAAATGTTCCATGAATTTCCCTTCATTGACCATCATGATCGTCCCATTTTATTTCTCACGGCTTTTCTCCTCAAATGCCACTTAGAAACTCAGGCTTTGAGCGCCATCACTGCCGCCACAAACATAGACCTTGCCTCAGGGGCACCGGTCAGCACCGGTCAAAAAGATCGCTATGTAGAGACCCACCGATAAATGGCAACTCCCAAGAATCAGTTTGATGTAATATGTGTGCGTTTTTGATTTCATTTGTTTACTTTCCATCTTTTCCAGGACCCTTATCCATCCCATCCCATCCCATCCCATCCCATTCGCCATACCCCTGGTGAACTTCAGCTTGATCACCCCACCCAACCGCCTGCTGTCAGCACAGCCGCGCAGGGTGCGAACCTGCATCGGCCATTGAAATCACCGTCGGCAAATCATGTACAGCAAATATCAGTCATTTGTGATTGTGTAGAATAGATGCTTGTCCTTCTTTCTTTTCTTTTCTTTTCTTTCTTTTCTGTTCTTTTCTTTTCTTTTCTGTTTTTCTTTCTTTCTTTCTTTCTTTTCTTTTCTTTTCTGTTTTTCTTTCTTTCTTTCTTTTCTTTTCTTTTCTGTTTTTCTTTCTTTCTTTCTTTTCTGTTTTTCTTTCTTTCTTTCTTTCTTTCTCTCTCTCTCTCTCTCTGTCTGGCTGTCTCTCTCTGTCTGTCTGTCTCTCTCTCTCTCTCTCTCCCCCTCCCTCCCTCTCCCTCTGTCTCTCTCGTCTTCCAGGAGAAAGAAATGCTAAACGTGGTGCCGAAAGCCCGACCAAGTTAAAAAGCTGTAAGATGTATTGATATGGATTCATATTGATTTATATGGATTAATATGGATTACTTATGATATATGATGCTGACTCCGGATATTTCATGATCTTTCGTGATGCGCCCCACTTCCAGACCCTGGCACCGCCGGCACCGTCGCATCTGCATGGAGGGTAAGGTGGTCCAGCGCTTGGACCCCACCGACCAACATTCCACCGAAGAGCTTGGACGACCATGGCATAAGCCGCCCATCACCAGCACATGCCCTGCAAGTTTCAACAGCTGGATACTGGGCTTGAAACAATTTGTTGCCCACCCAAAACAACTGGGCAAAGAGCAATCTGTAAGTTTTGTTGGCCCCCCCCCCAAAGCTTGTATTTTGGCATCTTCTACTTAAACCACTCTTCTTGCACAATAACAACTCAAAGATTCTACCCCATAAAAGCCACCACCTTCATCAGTGCAGCCAACTCCCCCAACATTCTCGGCAAAAATGATCCTCCACCCATGTTCCCTACCATTCACCAAGGGTTTCACCCCAGGGTGGTGCCCATAATTAGCTAAGTTGGTTGGAACTACTGTAGGTCAACTATGCATAGGGTTCAATGGTGATGAAATCACTGGAGATTGTGTGGATATATAAACCAACATCTAACTGGGGCAACCTGTTAATGTATGTGGCCCTTAAACATCCACACAAATACTCGCCCGTTGATGGTTCACCCCCACAACGTGGGCCTCCCAGTTGCAGCTTGGCTTCCAATTATAGATATGCCAACTGTACCCTCTGGTAATTAAACACATAGCTATGGAAAATCACATCCTTAAAATTGGAAAGTCATCTATAGCATGTGATTTTCAAGCCAGACGTGTAAAAACTTATCGATGGGGTTAACTTTATTTAAAAAAGACATCTATGATTTTCATATGATTGAAACCCTCCGTGTTTATAGATTCAACTCAAAAACAAACAGCGGAAGATCCAGCTCCGCCAGGTCCTCCACAGGCCACGGCGGCATGGCTGCAGCGCCCCAGCGCCATCCTGGGCCCCGGCGTCCAGCGCCGCCGCGCCGCGTCGAAGCGCTCGCAGCCGTCGGGCTGCGGCCCGACGCCGCCCGTGGCCACGAGCCCGGCACCGAGGACGACGGCGGCGAGGGCGCAACGACCGGAGGACATGGAGGGGACGGACCTGGAGCCCAGGCCCAGGGCGGGGAAACATGGCGTGGCCTGGCATCATGTGGTTTGAGGTTTGAAAAAAACTATATATGCAAAGGAAATGGAAGGACATGTTTTTCAGTTGTTACGGAAGATGTTGGGAAAAGATAAGTGCGGTTGGAAGTTTTGAGGTGGGAACTTCAGAACCAATTTGATGGCAATAAAATGTGGGCTTGTACCCCCGTGCCAGGGGCGGAGCCAAGCTACTCCCAAGATCCCAGCGATGGTCCAGCAGGTGCCTGGCAGGGATAAGGTCGGAGTCATTTTTTGAGGATCACCCCCCTGCAGAAAACTGGCTGAAGTGACATCACTTAGTCCCCAAGCATCCCAACATCGTGAGGTTAGGCCATTTGTAATATGGTCGAAGGATCATCTGCCCGGCCCTGGTGCGCATACGTTATCTAACTGGGACAACCCCATACAACTTGGGGATTTGATAGCCAGTGGTTGTTAACTATGCTCAGAATCTAGTTGTAAATGGGATAACACCCTTTTAACACCCTTTTTGTATACTGTGATAGGTCTGATTTCAGATTGCCCCGATCAGTGATGTCCAAACAGAAATCATCAGATTTCCAATGGCTCCCCAAACCTGGCAATCCAAGGATCACGCCTCCAGCCAGCGCGTGCACAGCGCCAGTGGCTTGTTGGAGGCATTGGCATTGCCTGCGCCACCCAAGACGTAGAGGCCGGAGTCCAAGACGGCCGCCTCAGGCGTGGCAGGTGTCTGCTGGAAGGCGCCCCAGTTATAAGCTGGTTTTTAAAACCCATCAACAATTATTTATGATATATACACATAGATAATATATATATATATAATATTTAAAAATGTGATATTATACCTTGCAATCTTCCTCCAAAAGGTGCACCGTGCACCAACCACCGCACTAGTGATGCTTCTGAGGCAGGTAGGGGCTCCGGATGGAGCCCAAGTGTTCTGAGTGCTTCTGCTACTTTCCCTCGGTTTCTTTTGATGCTTTGGTAATGACGGTAATGCGATTTGCCTTCTTAATTTGCTGCGTGTGCAAATAGAACAATGGGTATGGCCGGCATGGCATTTACACCCACCCCCTTCAATGCATTGATATTTGTTGAATTTGAGTCTTGCAGGTGCTATGATGTTTCAAGCCATCCCAATCTTTTCCCATGCCCCCATCTCGTGAATGCATGCTTTGCTCCACACATACCTATGCCTAGCTTTACTGTAACTACTGATAGTCCATAGGAATCCCATTCACAGGCCAATCTTAGATACCCTGCAAAATTCTGCAAAATACTAGAATTTATAAACATATTCAAGTACTTAAAATGATAAATCAGACCGTTTTCTCCATGGTTTACCGAGCTCCAACATGAACGCCGAGTTGCAGCTGAATCAATGCGCGGCACCGGCATCATCGGAAGCCTTTTTTTCTGGGCCATTTGGTGGCCACTGAAATCGCAGGCCCAACATCGTTTGAAAATCTGTACCCTCTGGTAATTTAACATAGCTATTGAAAGTGGTCCATTTATAGTTGATTTTCCCAATAAAATGGTGATTTTCCATAGCTATGTTAAATTACCAGACGAGGGTATCCAACAAATTGCTGGGAAAATCCTATGTTTTCATGGTTCATCCAGTCCATCTGAGTTACATCCTGCACAAGACACGCTTCATCATGGCCAACATCTTCCATTATCTCTCCCTTCTGCCGCAAAACGAAAACAAATAATCGAGGTACACCCTATTAATATATATGTATATACATCTCAATCATGTCTATGTAAGGGATGTAACTACCCCAAAATATATGGTTTCTCATGGACAGCACCTACACCCCGGCTACACCAAGAGGCTCCGTCCAGCTGTGATCTTCGGCGCTCCAACGGGAGGCGCCCCGTGGCGCGCCAATGCCACCCAGGATGTAGAGGTGCTTCCTTGGAGGAAATCCACAACCGGTGAAGGGAAACAAAGGAGGAGTTCTGTTCCAAATAATCATCTAAGTGATTATAAATCTAATCCAATCATGAGAAACTATTAATACATATTAGTGCTATTACTGTAAATTAGTAGCAAATATGCTTGGGATTGCTTAAGTATTTGACACATTTAGAAGAGATAAATGAATTTGATAATTTGACCTATATATTGAAAATGATCTGAACAATCTGAACTCTTAGGAATTGAGCCAGTATAATGGCTTAAGCGCATTAAATCTGGACATATCTGGACTTTTTTATCGCAAAATAGGATGACATGATGGGTTTTTGCAGTTGTTGCATGATTTTACGATCTGACAATAATTCACGAGCCAGAAAGGTCCACAGTTCTTGTGCCATCAATCTGCTGGTGCGTTGATGAAGGTCGCGATATTTTGCCCAAATTAATGGTGTACCTGTGTGCAATGGGGGGCTTAAATATCTAAATCAGGTGCTCGTGACAAAGATGACAAAGCCACACCTGAATTATCTGTGAACTACTGGTGAAGTCGCCTCAAATCACAGATTCTGCAGGGAATCTTAGCGCATCACAATCGGGCTGCCGATGAAGTCGGCCGGAAAGTCCACCATTTAGTAACCAATGATATCCCCAGCGAACGAAAGCCCCCCCTTAGTTTAGGGGATTCCCAGCTGGCCATTGTTGATTTCCCAGCATCCCCATGATGTTGGCACAATGTCCGCAGCGTCTGCCCGGCAAGGGTGGCTGAAACTCCCACCTGGCAGATAATCAATTGGATGGCACCCGGGGACCATTGAAAACTGACATCAAGATGAAGGCGTATCATACCTGGATCTTCCAAGTATGCGTTTGTTTTTTGCTCTTTTACTAAAAGGCAGCTTTTTTTCTCGATTTTTTCAGACTCGCCTTTTGTCTTCAGAATCGCCTGTCAGGAAAACACGAAAACGAAACTGCCCTAACCGAATTACTCCACTAGACATCTTTTGATTTTCCCAAATTACCTTAATACATGTTCATATTTGTCTTGGTCTGCCCAAACTATCCCACCACATTTCTTTGTTAAAGTTTAACCAGTAACTATCCCAACAAGTTTCTTTGCTTGAACAAATTATCCCAATGCATTTCTTGTTTTAGCCAAGCTATCCCAGTAGAGTTTTTGTTTTACCCAAACTATTTCATGTTCCTAATTGGAAATAATGCATCAAAAACGTTGGTCGGGTCAAGTCGCGTTTAGGTGCGACAAGTCGCCGACTCTGGTCGGGAAAGGTCGCCGGTCGCCCGCTCCGATTTGTCCTTTTGGGGGCATTGTAACTTCCAGAAAAAGACATTGAAAATTCTTTACGCAAAAGCCAATTCAAAGGCATTCCAAGTAGTTTTCCCAATTCTTGCGGGAGAGATCCAAATGACCATGCCTGGGCCAAATGCCCGGCCACAGCCCAAAATCAAAGATATAGGAAACTAAACTGAAGATATATACATTCCAGGTAAGAAAGTGTGGGCTGTGCTACTGCCCTTTGTTGTTGTCAAACGGTTGCTTTGCAGCTTGGCGATGTCTTTCAAACAAGTAATCCCAATTTCACCCATAGATCTGAGAGAAGTTGGTGAACATATTGCCTTATCGTTGGATTGGCATATTTAGCCTAGAAAACATTGAGAGATTTCTGCCACCATCAAAAAGGTGGCCCTAATTATACTTGAAATCGAAAAGTCGCCCGTGCTCGGGTAAAGTCGCCTTTTCACCACAAAAGGCAGAACTCCCTCAAGAGGCAGAAATTATGCACACTGGGGAAGATGTAGGTATAGTCATATTGTACGCGTGTGTATAATTAATGTGTATGTGCGATGTATGTGCCTGCGTGTATACATATTGCATTCTTGCATGCTTTCTGAGATATTGCTGTGTGCATTTACCATCATTTACCTATGCTTACATAGAATCATAGAAGCTCGATATGTTCATTCTATACCCAGCTTATGCCCAGCCACGACGCACCTCCGCTTGGCGATATCAAAGCCATCCACGCTTTCTAGAGATGGAGGGCCTGTGCCACCCAGCACCCAGAACTTCCTCGGCGCTCATCAGTTCCAGAGTATTTCTTTGGGATACCAACCAATGGGTGCCCATATCTATAGCTATGTTCATTTAAGGGAAGGTGTATGTATGCATTTCACCAGAAAGAGGGCCGCTTTTGGAGAGCTGCCATAACTAGCGATGCATGGGAAAGTGAACCATAATTAATTGCGATTTAAGCATCAGCCATGAACCATGGGGCATGGGGATTTGACCAATGAATAATATATTTGGGTTTCCCATATGGGAAATACGCCCCAAAGCGGCGGTTTATGCTTAAAGCTGGGATTCGGGGCACGTTATTTTCAACCAAGCTCATATGATATTCTGGTAGTATTCGGTATAACATACATCATTATCAACATATGATCATCCCAGATTTCATTCCCCACCTGCCAGGTGAGGGTTGTTAGATTTTATCAGGGCGCTCTTCCTGAGCGTCCTCGTCCTCCTCCTCGTCCTCCTCCTCCTCCTCCTCGGCTGTCCTCTTCCTCCTCGTCCTCCTCCTCGCTTCCTCCTCCTCCAGTTTCTCCTCAACCATGTCTGCATCAACTTCCACCTGCACTTGCGCCTTGCCAACTCTTCGCCCAGCTCTTTGCCAACTCTCTTCGCCGACTCTCTGCGCCAAGCTCTTTGCCAACTTCCCAGCTCAGTGTGCACCGCTGGACCTCAACCTGGGACCGTTCCAGCTCAGTGTGCACCGCTGGACCTCAACCTGCGATCTATCTGTCCAGCTCAGTGTGCACCGCTGGACCTCAACCGGGGACCTGCCCAGGTCAGTGTGCACTGCTGGACCTCAACCTGGGACCTGCCCAGCTCAGTGTGCACCGCTGGACCTCAACGGCCAAATAGAATGCCATAAGATATGCCAGATAGAATGCCAGAAGCTATGCCAGATAGAATCCCAGAAGATTTGCGAGATAATATGCCAGAAGATATGCCAGATAGAATGCCAGATAGACTGCCAGAAGATGTGCCAGAAGATGTGCCAGAACATATGCCAGAAGATATGCCAGATAGAATGCCAGATAGAATGCCAGAAGATATGCTAGAAGATATGCCAGAGCATATGCCAGAAGATATGCCCGATAGAATGCCAAATAGAATGCCAGAAGATATGTCAGAATATATGCCAGAAGATATGCCAGATAGAATGCCAGAAGATATGTCAGATAGAATGCCAGAAGATTTGCTAGTAAGAAAGTGTATAAATGTCATGGTGGGGATCACACGAAGTAAAGTATTTGTTAATCAAGAGATCGTGGAAAATGAATATCACCCCATCACTAAAGCGCAACTTCATTGCTTCATATCCAGATCGGTACTGTGTACGGGTCCAAACGAAGCCGGGATGGTTGGATCAAACTAGAGTGATCATCAAGATAACTTAAATGTATTCTCCATTATATAATGAACATGCTATTGGTAAAGCGCCAAATTGAAAAAATGGTGGTTTGTTCATATAATCCATCTAGTCCCCATTATTCCCATCCTCATTGTTGATGGTTGAATCCCATTCGAACCCCATTTTCAAAACCCTGTTATGTAAATCCCAGTGCGTCCTTTGATCTCCTCATTTCTATTTTCTAAGTGCCACATTTACATACGCTCATACATTTACCATGAAATCCCCATGAAAACTTTCTAGACCCGAATTGTTGATGGTTAACTCCTAATTATTTAGACTCTTTTGTTGGTTGCCTCCATTGTTGGATGCTTAAATCCCATGACGTACAGCCAACCGAGACAGTCCAGCAACGGTTCATCTCTCATCTCCAGCTTGTGCCAGCCTGGCGCCAGCAGGGCAATGCACTGCTGTGCCAAGGGTGGCAGGTAGCTCCCAAGTAGCTTGGCCAAGGGAGGCGAGACCAAGAAGATTTCCATGGCGAAACCAGTGGAGCTTCGTTCAGTGGATCTTAGCATAGTTCCAGGACGTCTGCGGAGGGGGAACACCATAGAAAACCTCGGAAAATGGTGGGATCAACGAAAAAAACCACAAAATCCAGAAAGTGATCAACATGTTCCATATATTTTTTAAAAAATCGAAGAACGCATTATTGTGGTATTTTGTCAGTTGTGTGACTCTTAAAATGCATTTGGGGTATGCCCCATTTTCAGATGGACATCTGCAGGTAAAGACGTATTTATAGTAGATTTTTCGTTAAATCCATTGAGGACCTGATGATTTTGGCTGATTAGAGATCTGGCTGGCCATGTCTTTTAGATGTTTTCAAGAGATTTCAAGAGAACAAACAGGGAACTTCAGAATCTGGTACCAGATCATGTGAGTTGCACCAAGATCATGAGTGCTTAGCAATGGGATTTATGAGACAACCGTTGACCCTTAGGCGTTGTGATGTTTTCTGCGATCATGTGACTCAATGCTATGCAATACCCTTGAAGTGCCCAAAAACCGGCTATGATTGTTTTCCGTTTTTCAAACCAAATATGAGAAAACTTACATAATTATACGTATATAAATGGGTTTGATATCCCCAATACATATATAATATAATTGTGTTCCAATTTAACTCGTCATTTTGCATACTTTATGTCATTTCGTATCCTCCACGAAAGACGGCTTTGGTCTTTCTGCTAGGGCCAAGAGGTGACCTCGATGATCTGAGAGTCACAGCAGCTGCCAATTGTGTGGCCAGGCTTCAAATCAGGCCTTTACTGATCTCCCGACGAAAATGCTCTGGCCAAATGTTCAGTTAAGCCGCCCTCCGGCCATATCCACCTGCACAATTCTCGGGCTCATTTTTGTCCGATCGCCGCCAGGCTTCCACCAACGGCACGCCGAGGAGGCTGCAAGAGATACTGGTCTTTGAAATAGAATTGAAAGTGATTACTGCAGCTGGGCCATGTCTCACACCATTGTCCAATGTCGTTGTTTGCAGATTTCTTTTTGTTCCAGGTAAGCTTCAAACAACATCTTTGCTGGGAAAAACCTATATATATAATTAAATATACATATATTTGCATATCTCCATCCTTTGCAAAACATCAACTTAGGTACCGTGAAGAAATGGCACATGAAAACACATCGCCTTCACTGCATTCTGGTTTGACCCTTCTGTTGATTTCATGTCCTGGTTAAATTCAGCCAACTTAATCAATTCTGAACCAACTTTACCATGCTTATTCTTAATCAACCTCGAAAATACTGGGTATATGATGGGGGAATACCAGCATCAAATCACACATTTCAGTTGTTCGGTACGTTTTGGCTGGAGAAAGCACATCACATGGCCCGGCCTTTCCACCACACTGTGTGGCGCCAGTGTTTGACGCGGCAGCCGCGTCACATCTTGGGTCATCCGCAAGAGAATGGAGCATTTCCATGCCGCAAAGATACTTGTTTTTGTTCCAGAAATTTAACATAATATCACCTCAATAGAGCTTAAAGAAGGTGAATCTAGGAAAACAAATCAGGGAGTTTTTCCAAACACCCAGTGGGAGAAGAATCCGAAAAAAAACTGAATTTGTCAGGTCGTCTTCATGCAAATCCGCAGGTGCACAACACCTTTCTCGCAACTCATTACAGCTAATATATGGGGTTTATGTTCAGATTTTTTGACCCCACGATTTAGAGGGTTGCATAGATATCAGTTCATTCGAAATGAATAGTATCTCCATATTAAATTTGCCCTGGATTGGCTCTCAACCCTTGGGTCGTAAGGAACCAATGACAGTTTTGAATCATGGTCCCTCTCTTCACCTTTGACCAGTTTACCAGCTGGCTCACTGAGGGACTCAGAGCTCCTGTTGGTTCAATGGATTGGTTTTTTTTCGGGTTTCCCTGTAGGTTTTCCCTCCACTTCTGGGATCGGTGTTTGAGCTATCAACCTGAAACACACGAAACTCAATTGGAAGGGATGAATATAGCAAAAAACAAGACCATTGACCTATCCGGTCAAGGTTTACCCAAACACATGGGCTCAAAAATCATTGTCTTTGTATTGCCATGGCTCCAAACATTAGTGGTTAGAGAGCAATGAACCCTTTTGCTCTTTGGCTTAAAACAGTGGTTCAAAAAAACTCACCAAACTGGGTGACTCATGGACCAGTTCTACAAGTGAAAATGATGAAGATCATTGGATTTTCAGGTCGCCAAACTGTCACATGAACAACCCACAAATTTATGAGGGGGTCTGGTTTCTTCATGATTTTCCACACTTGGACGTTGCCATTTTGGAGGTTCCATGCTAGACCCAGATGCTCCAAGTATGGTATATATTTACCTACATGGGCCCATCCCAGGCGCACCACCCAGCCTTTGTGCAGTCCTCATAGGTGCCTGCAGGCACCTGCATGCTACACCCAACTGGTCGGCTGGTTTACAAAAAAAAACGGTTGTTGGTTTACATCTAAAACATTTGGGGGTTTCCTAAAATGGGGGCACACCCAAATCATCCATTGTCATAAGATTTTCCATGTTAAACCATCCATTACCACCATTTCAGGAAACTCCATTATTTTTGAAACCCCGAAAATAGCATCAAAAAAAACTTTACTTCGAGTGATCCCCACCATGGCATGTCAAGGCATATAGTGTGACATATATTCGGACATTTTACCTAACATTCTATCCGACATCTATTCTGACATTCTATCTGCCATTCTTGCTGGCATTCTATCTGCCATTCTTTCTGGCATTCTATCTGCCATCTATTCTGTCATTCTTTCTGGCATTCTATCTGCCATCTATTCTGGCATTCTTTCTGGCATTCTATCTGCCATCTATTCTGGCATCCTTTCTGGCATTCTATCTGCCATCTATTCTGGCATTCTATCTGAGATTCTCGTCTGGCATTCTATCTGCTATATCTTCGAAGATCGAAGTCCGGCTGGGACCACTCTGATCCGGGGCATGCTGTTCGGGTCCGGCGGGGACCACTGCGATCGCGAGCTTGCACTTGAGGTCCGGTGGAGAAGGAGAAGGAGAAGGAGGAGGCGGCGGCCAACTGACATAAAATCTAACAACCCTCACCTGACAGGTGGGGAACAGATCCTGACTTCGGAAGCTGTTGGAGTTTACAGCTAAGCATCATGATCATCATGTAGTGGTTTTATGTGCGAATTACCACTGTTTGTCCTACTCATGCCACAAAGAACAAGCGTTGGGTCAACAAATGCTCCAAGAGTCATGGGTTTTCTTGAACAAATAGAGGCTTTGGGACCTCGTCAGTAATGTGTGACTAAAGGCGTCAGAACCCCAGGGAGGTTTACTACTCACTTTGTGGAAACTATTTTTTCTCCCTGAAGCCCAATTGTTATTGGTTGATTCCCTCGATGTTTGTTGGATCCAATTTCTTTGTTGATGAACTCCCCAAGGCCCCGAAGAGCAGCGCTTGGCTTCAGCACCTCCTTACAGCTTCCACTGCTGTTCTTGATGGTCACTGTGCCTTTAATGACCTTGGTGTCAACAGCTCACCATCTGGGCTGCTTATACATATATATATACATATATATTGTATTATATTTAAATATTATATATTGTATTATATATATATGTATGTATATATATATATATCTCTCTCTCTCTCACCGACAGAACAGGGGCAAACAGACCCCTTCTATAGCTACGTCCACGTCTCTCTCTCTCTCTCTATCTATCTGTAAATATAACCAGATATATGTACATTATATCTATAATACATGTATACATGATTATACAAGTGTGTTGTTAGGCACGTATGTGTAGCACATAGTATGCTTCAGTTGCGACCCACAATTCATTGGGGTAATTGAGGATAGAATTCCAGAAGCTGAGAGAACATTGATACGACACTAACAGCAGTTCCAGTTCTCTGCAACAGTCTGCCATCTAAAAGCACGCCGGACGTGCATCTCCTTACAGAATCTCAGTATCGCCATGTGTTGAGGAACATATACCCAGAACATTTTCATGAAAACCGTGATCCAACACAACAACAAAAATATGATTATTATATATGTCGAGCTCCTCATGAGAATATCTCACTATGACATAAATATCGATAAACCCTCTTGTTTTGAGTTTCTGGAACTTTAGGGATATATTTTTATAACACTTTTTCATGGATTTAAATGGCATGTCTGGGCTTCCCAGACCACATCCTTGGCGAAGGTGATCTCCCCCTCCACCACCAACTTCTTGCAGCCCACCAGGGAGGGAGCCCCATTGGGGATCATCTTTTCCATGGCATCGAAGAACCTGACTTTTTTTCTGACACATGTGTCATGGGTCATTAAATGTCCCCATTGAACATCACCCAACCATTAGGTATATGGTCTATAATGGCTACTATAAGGTGATGTCCAATATACCCAAAATGGAACAGTTACCAACCCCTGTTTTTTCTGACATGTGTTTGTTTTTTTTTCCAGCTTTTGGACGATCTTAGCAGATCTTGGTATAGTTTCAGATAGTTTCACTTCCCATTTTTTTGATGGATGAGAATACACAAGATGAGGATTCAAGAACCTGAAATAAGGATAAAAAGTAGGCCATTTGGAGATAGTTACTCCTACTAGCCCATCATTCCATTTGATGTCTGTCTTTTTTGGAAACAAAAGGCCTCAGGAGTTGGTGTCACAAACACCGCCGAGCTGCTTGTACATGCCATCCAGCTTGACGTCGGGTGGCACGCCCTGCCTCTCTTCCTTCAAGACAATTCTGAAGTCCTGGCTGCTCAACACATCCGGAGTTTCTTCTTGGGACGAGTTGGAGCCTGGTGGAGATGCGTACTGCATACACGCAATAAGCATTCATATCTCAGTGGCATTATCATCATTATGATCATCATTGTCATACCTGAATCATACCTATGAATAAAAGTATATAACGATATGGCACAGCCAAACAAAACTGGTACCTTGTACCAAAACAGGCACATATAATGAGCTCGGCCATCTTCAATCAACGAACACTTTTTTCCCCAAGCCGGGCCCTTACGTACCTCCCCAAGCCGGCATAAAGAAATCAAACAAAAAGGTGGCATAATGTGGTTTAATGTGCGTATGATATCATATAATGGGATAATCTAGATGATATGTACTAAACATATCTGCGCAGCTGCGCATAAGAATCACTTTCTTATGATTTCTGCCACAGAACTCCTGTAACTGTACCACTGTCTTGGATATCCTTCAAAAACATCCAACAAAAATCTCCCAAAAAACACCCTGAACTAGTCCTGGGCATGAGAAAACCTCCGCATCTAAACATCGAGAAATCTAAAGTTTTGGCCCGAAAGACCAGTTTATAAGTCAGTTATAACTCCCAATTTCCGATTTATGACCACTATTGGTAACTGATGACTCCATTTATACTTTTATTCAAAACTGGTATTTCGGACGATCACTGTGATGAGCCGAGCAAAGGGTCGACCCGAGTCAACCCGTGACCTCTGTCAGCATGTAGGCGTCAGAACGCAAGGCCAACAAGTCCTGGCGAACGGCAACGGCGGAACGGTCATGGTGACCCCTCCAGTCACAAGGTGCTACAATGACAATAGTAATACAATGGGAATTTTATACATGGATATATTGGGATAATAAGAACCAAGAACAAATATCATTAATGGGTAAGTCGTGACCCTATCAATAACGTGTTGGTTGGTTCAGGGCGAATCTTAACCATTTGACAGTGACGTCGTTCCATCTTTGGCCGGTTCACATCTCATCTTTGCTAGCTCCGCCCAAATCATCCATATCACCAGCTATTTTTATTCCATGGTCCATGATAATCCCGTACTAAATACTGTATGCCCTGAATACATGGCACAATTGCAAATCTGAAACCCCTATATATTGTTGATATTCAAATCCCATACATCCAAAAATATGAGTGTATAGATCTCTGACAAACTATCCACCGCCAAATGTGGGGATATTTGACAGGCGGATGGGGTTCGCAACTGGATTTTAAACATTCTAAACCTTGGATGCGTGAGTTATCCCATATACCTATGCTATTAATATCTATTCACAATATATTTACAATACTACATTGGCAAAATGAAGTGGCTGTTTCAAAATGGTCCATGTTAAACCATATTCTCTTGATGGCTGACGATGTTTTTCTCATGATTCTCCCACCATTGTTGGTGGTTAAACCACCACAAACCTCCCATATTTCCTAGGACTCCTCTCCCCGGCCCCCGGTCGTTGGTGGTCTTCACCGGCGCGAAGCGCGTACGGGGGATGACCAAGGCACTGGCGCCGGGGAAGCCTAGGCGGGGAAGAACCAAAAAGAGGTTACTGCATTATGTAAAACTAAAGAAATTGGGTATATATCCCCTTATATACAAATTTGTTTCATACAAATTCTATGAGATATAAGGATATAAGGTATGGGTCCCATGGGTTGATCAATCCTTATACTTAAATATGCATGTATATATATATATATGGTTATAGTCGATATTTTAACTTACATGTTGGAACATGTTAGTGTATACCATGGAATTTACAGGACATGTATACAGTGTATATATATATATATATTATAAAATATTATACACATGTTTGACATTATAACAGGTATATATATATGGGATATGTCATGGAAAATAGCAGAAATATGTTCGTTTAATATTTAATATCCTCAAATGTTGGTTTATGTGTTTATGTTTGTATCCTATGTGTATGTTCCAGATGTTGAAATATATCAAGTATAACAGGCATATTGGATATGTTATGGACAATGTTGGTCATAATCCTTAATGGTTCATAACATGTTTGAATCGAAGAATATGATTAAGGTCATAATCCTTGTATGCTTCGACAGCAAAACTTTAATATACATTAATTAATATACAGCTTTTTTACAAAACAGGCCATGAGGGGAGTGCACAACTTGCAGCATTTCCTGTGAAAACATCTACACAGTGCATGTAACGCGCACTTCCCCAATGTGTATGCCCAACCCTATCACAGTTTCTGGATCTTGATTTTTTAGGATCTCTTGCTTTCTGTGCACAAATCCACCAAGACTAGTGGGAAAAAAACAAACAACGAAAAACTGCAAAAAAACAACAGGACAGGACCCACCTGGCTGCATCTTCCCCATCCTTGGGGGGTGCTATCTTTTTCTTGGTTTCCTGGGTTTTGGTTTCTCGGATTTTTGAAGGGCTGGCAAAACAAAAAAAAGGTTGCATAATATACCAAAACATGATGAGGATACAATAATGTTTCGATATCCCCATGTTGCGGATCTGATTAAGATGACTACCCTCATAATCTATATTGCACAGAAATAACGGGTATATCGTATATCGAAAATTACACTATCATAGAATTCAGTTCAAACAATATATTAATAACAGGCATATGAAATAAAACAAGATGTGGATATAATGTTTTGGATGTAAAAAGATAATGTTCGTTGATTTTCCGGTGTTTTTCTTTTTTCTATAAAAATAGCTACATACACTCTGGTACTGAAACATTGCAATGGAAAATCCATGAAGACCCACTATATAATGTTTGATTAGCAATAGACCATCCATTTATATAGATCCATGAAAATAAATAATCACTATATCCCCCCCCTTTTAAGGGGGTAAAAACTGAAATATTTAACTTTAGGGGGGCGTCTCCCCCCCGCCACACCTAGAAATATTTCACCTCCCTAAAGTGAAATATTTCAGCTAAAAAAAATATGGTCTATAATGGTCTCTGGGCGTGGTTGAATTCAAGGCTGAATGTCATGTTCTGAAGGCTGTTTGGCAAGTTCACTCTCTTATTTACTTTCTTGGAAACCGGCAGTTACCATTTACCTAGTTTATCCTAGTTTTGTGTTTGCGCGTGGACCCTACCCGCGTAAGGACTAAAAAGGTTCAAAAAGGAACAGCGTCGGCGTGTAGAAGACGCGCGCTCGTTTTACGCAAAATGAAAGGGTGTGTCATACCATCTCTGGGCTAAAATGTGGCATCCGGAGGACCCCCCCCCACGTTTTTTCGAAGCCCAAAAAACACGTGGGGGGGGGTATATTTCACGTGGTCAGGTGAAAAATTTCTCAGAAATTTCTTGCCTTACCCCCCCCAAATATTCCAGGGTTAAAGGGGGGGGATATCACTATTTACAGAAGATGTTCCAAACATGGCATGGAAAATCCACTATTAATAGATACTGTATGATACTGTAATTTCTCTGTTAGAAAATCGGTTATTCTTGCAGCATATCCCAGTTAGTGGATGAAGCCTACTAATCCCTTTTTTAACTGACATTATAAGCCACAAAAACTGGAGCGAACCACCACCCACCAAGTAGATACTTTAATTTTCCCATCATTATTCCATATCTTCCCATCTTTTCCCATAATTTTCCCATATTTGCCCATCATTTCCCATAATTTTCCCACATGTTCCAACGAAAAGCTCATCTTTTCCCAAGGGAAAATGACGACTCACCCAGGGCGTCCGGGCACTGAATGGCCGCGCCCATGGCGGTTTCCAGCTGCAAGACCTGGCGGATTTTTTTCGAAGAAGAAATCCATGGGATAATCATGAAAGAAACACATGGGGATAATATGGGATATATATATATATAATATGATAATAATAATAAATAATCTATAAATAAAAATAATAATGATGTTGAGAATAATAAATAATCATCATTGATAATAATGAATTTGTAATTGATAATAATGAATAATAATCGAAAATAACAGATGATCATGAGAACATATTAGAACATGTGGGACAATAATAGATAATGATGGGAACATCTGGAAAAGCATCTATAAATGGTTGATTTGGGGGTTGCAGTTGGGGTGATTTTTATGGCTATAGTTGGGATATGGGACCCCTATGGTGAAACATATGCACTTGGTTCAGTGGAATGCCACCCCCAAGTTTGACCAATAAATGTGGGGGACCTAGGGAGGATCACCAATCCAATTCCTGGTTGCAACATTGCCAGAAGTGTGTAATCACAAACTTGAGATACAGTGTAGTCCAGTGGGTCAGACTCAACAACAAGTAGGATCTGCAAAAAAAAGGTGGAGAAACCAATCGCACCACATGATGGTAATTTAACATAGAAATCCGTGAGTTTTAGATAAAAGGAAACTGATCTCCTCAAATGGTGCGTTTTCTATGCCTACTGGAGGCTACTGGGCCAACTGGGTGAGGGACTTCTTCCATGACCAAAGATGTTCCCAGTTTTATCCTGAACCCTTGCCCCTTTGAATACGGCAATTCCAACCGAGGTCTGCTTGGCGGTTTCAATTCATCCTATGCTAGTTACATTGTGTCACCATCCCGCTTAGGATTTCAAAAAAAAACATGGTTGAAACAACCAGGCCTGAAGGTGTTTTCAACCAGCCATGCCCGTGGGCCGTCTCAAGTATTCATCCCCATCGTCGTTTGGGAATCCCACAAAGGATGAAATCACATCCGCCAAATCTTAAATATCTTAAATACCCCAACAGGGGGACCCAAGAATGAATAGATCACTCTAAATTTGAGTTATCAGGGGGATTTAACAGTTGTGGGAAGAAATGATATATCTCATTAAAAAGAACCTTGGTTGATTGACCCTAGTTCATTAACCATAGTCACATAACATCAAACATAATTAGTGTAGAGTAAACTACAAGTAACAGAGATATGGAACATGGCCCATTTATGGATGGATTACCTCTGAACAATTGTGGTTTTCCTCATCTATGTCATTTTTTAACTTAAATGAATAATATATTGGCCATAATTGTAAACATATATATATATATATTAATCACTATAAACTCTTGGTTAATTAAGTTAGAGGCTTAGTTGAGTAAGGCATACTTAACTGAAGTTAGTTGAGCGATCCATGCCTTCGTGGATGCCTTGTCTCGCGGATCGACCTCGACAGGAGCAGCTGGGAAGATCCTGGAAATGGGGGATATCAGGTATGGGATTTTGTATGGGGGGCTGTAACTTATATACAAATATATATATATATAAATGTGTGTGTATATATCTATAGCTCAGCAAAAATCTAACATAGCTGGGAAATCCTCTAGAAGTAAAGGGGGATTGCCAAAGCTATTTTAAATTACCAAAGGGCATTGCATTGTAAGGAACCAATGGGCTTGCACGTTTTCAGTTTTGTAAAAAACATATCCAATTCTGCAGGGACAATAAATGTGAACAATAGTCAAATACCAACCAAAAATGGGCATTTGATCGACGCTTTGCTTGCCAATCTCAGATACCCTGAAAAACTGGAGAAAGGCTGGTTGGCACACACACACATGAGGTATACACCCATTTCTAAAACAATATAATTGACATATTATTAAACCAATGGAAGTCATCAAGATTGGTATTTTGATACCAAGTCATCAGGATCAAGTTGTGCACATGAAAAATGGGATCATATAGTCAACATGCATAGACAGTAAACACACATATATATATATATCGATATTATGTTTATGTATGTCTATCAACATATATGAGTATCTATATACACATATCATATGTATGTATAACTATCCATTAAATGATAGACATGTAAACATAGAACAAACATAGTGATGATTTACTGTTGGAGTGGTGATTTACTGTTGTTCGACAAATATGTGCGGAATGTATCATACATATAGATCATACAGTTATAATATATACAGTAATTTAAATATATATATATAATTATATATATATCACTTATCTCTGCACACGTTTTGTGTAACACAGCTCAAACACACAGAATTGTAGCGAATATCTGGCACATGAGGATCCTACAGCCATGGTCCCCCACGGTTTTGGAATTCTTCATCACCGGCAATGGCAAGGCGCCATCGTATTTGCGGTAGAGGTTCTGCGGTGCCAGTGGCAATAGCGGGCAATAGTGCACGGCTAGGGTTTGAGCCACAAACATATCATACAGTGACGCTAATCATTCCAATCTAAGAGCAAAAACAATGCTCTAGATTCAAAACATTTCAAAATCAACAGGCAAATACCCTCGCCCAATACCCAAAACCAATATGGGTGCGTGGAAGATGCCATGCTTTTTAATGACAGCCTACTTACTGAAACTGCAAATGTTCCAGAGCACAGCAAAGGCAAGCGGGAAAATCTGCCAGAACTTAAGCTGACTTACCTGTTCACACTAATTGTTAATAATTGCTATATATATATGTTATACATATATATGTTTGCATACTGGAAGAGTACTCTTTCAGGTCGTAAATCACGCATGGTGTTGGTGCTGATGGTGGCTAGACTAAAGGGTTGCTTCATTTTTAAACAACAAGTTCTTACATGTGACAAATGTTACTTGATCAAATCCACGGTTTCTAATTTTTGTTGTCTAAATCAATATGGAAACCATGGGACATTTACCAGTCCCCTCTAAACCAACCCCGGAACCCCGGTGCCTTCAGAGCCCTTAAGTCCACCCAAAGGTTGTTGGTGTTGAAGAACTTGTACCTGAGACGGCTGTTTTTTTGGGGGGCCTGAATGGATCTGTCATAAACCCATGGTGTCATTCATGTTACTTGATTCTATTTCTATCCATATACGTAGAACTAGCCCTGACTAGGGGTGCTACTTTACGAAGGGATATTCGAAAACCGCTCGCACCATCTCGCACCTTTGTTTCTCAACCAGTATCTCTATATGATACGTACATTTCCGCATCTTGGTCACTTGCCTGTCCCACGGCGCGATCTAGGATCAGTTGGGTTGCCGAATCTTTTACATCTTGGGCATCCTCCATGCACACTATCCATCTCAAGAAGAGCCCCAGAATGGCCTAAATTTTGGCCAGTCAGCAACCACTTGGTTCTCAAGTAAGGCCCCCCACTTGCTAGTGTTCTGGAACTCCTGCGATGTCAGCACAGCTTCGGGGAAACTGCCGGAGTCTCACAAGAGTCTGCATCACCCATCACGCTTCGTGATATTTATGGTGTAACTGATTACTCCAAGTCAGCATGGCAGGACTTCCAGCGCGAAATTTGACACTGCCGAAACTGACAAGGCCTATAGGCCTAGTTTTCACCTTGAAACCAAAACCAGGTCCAAAAAGGGGAGCTCCTCATCACCCTCTCAAGCATGATGTGGGGTGAACAGCTGACCAGCTGGCGACATCTTGATACTCAACAAAGCTTTCGAAGGCATTGAACCAAACAGGGCGGCTTAAAATCCACGATGAAAACCTACATTGGTGTTTCCGTTCAGACCCCTAGGATCCGGTTAGGTTATTAATAGACAGGATATAGTCTAGGTTATCATCATTTTATGATAGTCTTTACGGGGGTTATCACAGATTTGGTGATAGTCTATTATCAGGGAATGAAGAACATATATGTTGATAATTTTGGAAGTATTTTCAATATATATCGTATAATTGAACGTTTTGTTTTTTAATGTCAACAGTTACATTGGATGATTATTTTTTATTGTTCCCATGTGGTTCTCATGTTTCGTTTTCGTGTTTTTTCTTGTCATTTTTGTAATTGCGATGTCCTTGTTTCCAGTTTCCGTTTCATAAAACTGGGTTTTCTGGTTGCGTTTCCGCGGCTCGGTTCAAATTATTTTGTAAATTTTCGATTATCGATCGAAAAAGATCGGTGCATCAAGTTTCTGTTCACGTCATGGCTGCCCAAAGTTCGAACCAGCTGTTCTACGGAGTTTCAGCATCTGTGGCACCTGACGGGAGTCTGGTGATAGAGGAATCAGCTGCTGACCGCGTCCAGACTCAACCGGTTCCGATGTTGTTGGAAGATTTCTTGAGTGATGAGTCGTCAAGCGAAGAAGGTCAAGCGAAGTCTCCTACCAAAATCGAAAAATGGAAAAACAAGATGATCAGTGCTCTCACGGACGCTTTGCAGAAGTTAGAGGTAGATGAGAAAAAGAACCAAATTCCAAGAGAGCTTAACCCCGTGGTGGACATGGTGAAGGATTTCCTGGCCAAGATGACTGATGGCAAGGCGGTGGAGCGCATAGAAGCGTATCGCGTGTTGGAAGGCGCACGAATGTCGTTGGAATTCGACAATTTAGACTTGGACTAAGCAGCGTGACATGAGGTGGCAGAAAAAGTGCTGAACATGCAGTTTCCGTTTCAATTTTCGTTTCCGTCTCCAGTGTCCGTTTCCATTTCGTTTCCATTTCCTCTTTCTGCTGTTTTATGTTTAAAACGTGTTAATTGTTTCCATGTCTTTCTCAAGCCGGGTCATGGTTTACAATGTTTCTTGAGATCTTGTTCAATAGACATGTGCGGGCATATGGCTATTGTAAATAGAATATCTACCAAATGTCTTTTGGAATAGTATGTTATATTAGGGTTTTTGGTTCAAGGATCACAAAAAAGGATATAAATCTGATCATGGCGGCCGAGACACCGTCCAAAGTTTCAGAGAAGCAGGCTTTAGCTGACGCTGAAAGACTTGCGGGGGCGCCAAAGGCCAGCCCAAAGTGCAGTTCCAAAACCAGGACACCTGAGAAGACTCCACTCAAGCGCCCAGCAGCTCGCAGGGATGAGAACCAACGTAAGACGGTCAAGCAAGCCAAGGCTCTGAAGCGTCCAGCTTCAAACAATGACTCGACAGAGGTTGCAGGCCCTTCTGTGGAACCAAGCAAGGGTGACGAGGAAACGAATAAAAGCACAAACAAGGCTAAGAAGAAGGACCAGGAGAAGGCACAGAAGCTTAAAATCGAAGAGCCGCAGGAAGAGACACCTGACCCTGGTGTGGAAGCCAGCACCGAGACTGCGGACAAAGCCAAAGAAACTCGAGACTACGCTAAAGCCGGCTACTTTCACAGAAACTTTTCCAAGTTGCCGGAGGAGGCCCAATCATTTGTGTCCGTGTCTTGTTTCCTCCAAGTTTTTTCCAATAATTTCCCCGTTTTTTTTTCCTTTTGTGTGTGGCAGGTGCAGAAAGCTTTCCAAGGGAAAGATTTGAACCGAGAGAAGAAGACTCAGTTGGTAAACCAAGCCGTACAGAAAGATTCCAAAGGCTCCTACACCTTCAACTTGGAATGTCAGGCTGTGAAAATGCTGTCTACTTACACGGAGAAAACCAAAGGTTCCCAGAGGGCAGTCGGTATGCCCAAGTCTTTGATGATTTCGAAGCTTGGTTCCGAACAAGCTTTGCAGAAGGCTATGGCGGATGGTGAAGTGTCTCAAACCACGCAAGCTGGCCGTGTCTTCTACGTCTTCAACACCATCGAGTTGACAAGAAGCACAGAGGCTGCAAGCACCACTCAGGCTGAGAAAGGAACGGACGTTTCTGACGATGCGTTCAAGTCTATGAATGCGTTTGTGAGCAATTTCCTTCCGAGTCTCAGCCCCACGGTTGCAAGCCATATTGTTTGGTTTTCAGGTGGTTCTGTTTTTGTTTCTGCTATTAATATTTCTAGCGCTAGGTGACAACAACTTGTCCAACCAGCAGACCAGCCCTACCCTGACGCTTTTTGGCGCCGAGACAAAGGCTCCGACCACTTTGGCCTTGACGAATGAATCGTTGGGCCGCGGTATGGGTGCCTTACATATCGCCGATCAACAGGTCTTGACTACTGCGGTGTTGACGAAGATCGATGAAGCTTTGACTTGGTGGACCAAAGCACGTGAGCAAGCTCGAAAGCAATTCAGCCAAGGTCCCCAGGGGGACGCGCAGCGACAATTGCGTCAACACTTGGTGCAGCTGACCGATCGCTTGTTCAGCTTGCAGACCAAGTTGGAACACGTCAAGATGGTTGGAACTGCGGACTTCAACGACGTCAAGGACATGTTGACCAAGATGGGGTCCGGTCTAGTCGAGGTTCAAGAAACCTTGCGGGCGCTTAGCGCTATGGGGTAAAACTATACTTCCTTGGTCGCCTCGAGCTGGTCCGTCTCAGTCGAAAGTACTTTGGAAAACCATTTGCTGCTTAGATAGGACGTATCCTTCAGAGTTGGGCAAAGAACATGGAGAGCCAAAAGACACAGTTGTGTCTGTGTCCATGTCCAGTTTCATTTCTTGTCCGTTTCTGTTTCTGTTTCCATGTCCTTTTTCATTTCTTGTCCGTTTCTGTTTCTGTTTCCTTGTCCTGGAAACAACAACATAACAATAACAACGTCCTGGTAACCAGGAACTACCACCACCACCACCACCACCACCAACAACAACAACAACAACAACAAATGCAACCGCGTAACGTCTGAGCGCTCGCAATTTTTTTCTTGTGTACGAACTACAGATTCGCTTGCATGTATCTTTTCGCCATTTATCTCTCAAGCGGCGCCCAAGTCTGCCACCATGGCGGGTGAAAAGCCGAAGATGTCGGCTGGTCAGCCTTCCATAACGAAGTATGTTGTATCTAGGCTGCAGTAGGTCTGCAGTTACAATGTAAATCACCCCCACTTAGAGAATCCACGTTTGCTAAGGTATGGATGGGAGGCAAAAACACTCCTCCTGGCACATTCGAGCAAATCTATGAATCTGTCAAACACTATGACGTGGAGGTCGTCAACAAAGGGTTCCAGACAGGAGGCTATGCAGTGCTGAAGACGACGAAGTTGGAGCATGCATGGTGGTGGTTCGATTGGCTGAAAATCATTGGCATCTATACGGGCAAAAGACCTGGACCCTGCAAGGCTTGGCGTGTGTCCGTTTCCGTGTCAAGTGTTTGATTTCTTGTCCGTGTTCGTTACTGCAAGGTCCCTTCATGTTCCTGAGTTTTGACAATTCAGGAGTCGGCTGGTGCAATTGTAGTTGTCCAGCGGCCTCAACACTGCGCCTACGATCAAGCAGCTCTGGAACAACTCGCAGAACAACTCCGACAAAGTCTTGGTATCATTCCGGATGAAATTCCACCTAGCACTCCGGCCCCAGGAACATCTAGTGTGTCCACTCTTCGACCTGCTGAACCAGCGGGTCCCCCTCGACGTGCTGACGATGGTGTCCCTGATGTGGATGAGGATGCTGCCCTGCGAGCTGCATTGCTATCCCCCCAGGACCGCACGATCGACAGCATGTCCATGAGCTTCCTAATGATTTCGGTTCTTGACAGGAGCTACCTCAAACGAAGCGCCCTGGAGATCCCGCAGACCATGACAGGAGATCAGTTTCTATGCTGTCCTTCATCGTTCGATCTGACCTTCCTTTTTTCTTTTGTAGGACCCGTCGAGCAAGTCGTACCAGATCACGTACGCGCTCTCCAAGCCAAGCATCCATCAGGTTGGAAATCTGTCATGTCTCAACAATATAATGCTGCTTCGCGTTCGACAGGCCATGTGTGAACAAGAAGGCAAAGAAGGAGAAAAAGCAAAAGACACAGAGGACCAGGCCAGACATATTCGTTTCCGTTTCCATGTCCGTCTCACTTACTCTTTCCCATTTCCATTGTCATTGATATCACTTCCATTCGAGTTCAATATTCCTGATCTTCAGGAAAGAATGTCATGAAGAGTGGCTTCGCGACATTCAGGGTGAGCTCGAAGTGGCCAGAAGAGCGTTGTCTACTGCAGAGACGATGTTGCGCAGAAGGCTGGATCAAATTGGATTTTTTTTCAACCAACAGTCTCTGCAGATAAATTAAAATATATGTTTTATCATTTTAATTAGTTATCACTCTGCAAACATGAGTTGAAAGAAATAAGTAGATTCACTTTTCTTGAAAAAAACATTTTTTCATCAATAAGTTTAAAAAACTGTTTGGTTGCATTTAAAGTTTGATTAAAGTTTGTTTCAAACTTTAAACGAGTAGATTCAAAGTTTAAATCAAACTTTAAAATCTCATATTCAAAGTTTTAAGTAAACTTTGACTATTAAATTCAAACTTTGAATAAACTTTGAATAGAAACATCTTAAAACTTTGACTTGGAAATTCCAAGTTTTTAAAGCAAATATTTTAAACTTTGAAGATATATTCAAAATTTAATTTATAAATTCAAAGTTT